CCACACCCCTCTCCTACTCTTGTTGATGCTTCTGAAAAGCGCATTGTCCCTCATGGTCTCCTATTTCCTCACCTCCCATTCACCACTCCCCTGAGGTGACTAAAATCACTAACATGTTCATGGTTACATCCAGTGGGTACTTGTTTGTCTCTTCTTGGTCTACTCTGCTGGTATCAGCTCCTCATTCTATCCTAGGTGTTCATGTCAGTCAATGAACTTCCAATTAGGTAAGCATTCCAAAAGGTGGTATCTACAGAAACCACTTCCAAACCACAGGCCTGTGTATACTTCTGCGTATCCTCTGAGATACCTTGCAGGCATCTCACACCTCAAGACGAAAAATGATCACCAATTATCTCATTATTCAATCTAGAAACCATGGTTTCAGCCTTGATTCCTCTCTCACTTCCACATTTATTCCTTTGCCCAGACCTGTCCATTTTACATCCTATATCTCTCTGAAACCTGTTTACCCTTCTCCACTGCTACCATCCCATTGCTCAACTTCCGTCAAGACTTCCTAAAGCTGGTCTTCCTGCTTGCACTCTTGCCCCCTACAGTCCATTCTGCACACAGCAACCCACATTGTCTTTTTTTTTTTTTCCCTAATCCTCACCCGAGGACATTTTTCCATATTTTGTTCCGATAGAGTGGGAGGGGGGGAGAGAGAGAGAGAGAGAGAAACATTGACGTGAAAGGGACACATTGAGTGGTTGCCACCCACAAACCAGGGCTGGGGACAAACCGCAAGTGAGGCGCATGCCCTTAGCAGGAACTGAACCCGGGTCTCTCTGGACCACAGGCCGATGCTCTAACCGCTGAGCCAAAACGGCCAGGGCCCCACACTGTCTTTTAAAAACAAATCTGAGCCCTTGTTAGTATGGCTAAGTGGTAAGAGCATCGCCTGTGGACCGAAGAGTCCTGGGTTCGAGTCCAAGGGCACGTACCTCAGTTGCAGTTTGTCCCCAGCCCTGGTTGGGGTTGTGCGGGTGGCAACCAATGGATGTGTCTCTCTCATGTCAATGTTTCTCTCTTTCCCTCTCTTCCTCCCTTTCTCCCTCCAGCTCTATCTGAAGATTAATGTAAAAATATCCTCGGGTGAGGATTAAAAAAATAAAAATAAAAACAAATCTGATAATTTCTGTACTTAATAATTTACCATGTCTTAACCATGACCCTACAAGGTCTGGCCCTGTTTTCCTTCCTCCCACCTTCATTTACCTCACTCTTCCTAACCACTCAAAATTATCCAGCCAAGTAATCTCTCTTTTGTTCCTCAAACATGCCTACCACAGGGCCCTTGCACTTGTTCTATCTGCCCAAAATGCTATGCCCCCAACTCTACACATAGCTGATTTTCTAATTTATCAGGCCTCAGCTCAAATGTCACCTCACAAACAGGCCTTCCCTGACCACCCTCTCTAGAAAGGCCTCTTAATAGAGCTCCTTGTTTGTGTATTTGTTTATTTTCTCTCTCTCCAAGTAGAAGATACCTTATCTGCTTGTTCATTACAGATAAGGTCCCAGTAAATCTGCCTGGCATACATTTGACATTCAAGGAACAACAGCCATCCATGTCTCAGACATACCACTCTCTTCTCGGGCCTGTACACATTCTGCCTATATATGTAACAGTTCCCTCTGCCTTGAATGTTCCTCTTTATCTGTCCACCTAGGTTAATTCAGGGTTCCACTTAAAAGATCACTTCCTCCAGGGAAGCCTCACTTGATCTTGACAAAAAAATCTCCATGCCATTTGTTTCTTCAATGATGAATGGCAAATTGGATGCCATCGTACTCAATTTTATTTCTTCCACATCAGCCTTTTGCTAGGCTGTAAGTTCCATTAGGACAAGTATGTCTCTCTGTAACCCCAGGGCCTTACCCAGAGCCTGAACCAGTGTAGTCTTTAGTGTTTATTGACTGGTACTAACTGTGGAGACTGGGCAGGGGCCCAAAGAGGTCACCATCACATAGCAGCCCAGGCCAAGTGCTGAATGAATATACAATCCAGTTGTAAAGAAGTTTGGTTTGAGGATGGCCACAGGTGGGTAAGCAACAGAATTTAGGCAAATGGGAGGAGACAGGAAGGCTTCCTGGGCATGTATAAATTCCTTAGGGCAGGATATACCTGGCATATTTATAGAAAGAGCTCTCACTGGAGTGGAGAATTCCTGATTCATGCTGTGGAGGTACTTGAAGGTCTGGCCTCACTCCTTTACTCTGCACCCAAGTTCAATCACCTCTGAGAGTCTCCACCAGCTGATCCCATAGTAACTCCAAAATATTCCAAAGTGAATTTTGTCATTCTGTATCATCTCCTCCTCAGAGTTCCCCATCTTGGTTAAAGAGCAGAGCGACCTTGGTGTTTTCAGGGTCTCTCCTTTACCCCAAACACCTCAATCAATAATAAAAACCTACTGCTTCCAATATTGTATCCAGACTCAATATTCCCGAGTGATCTACTTAAAATGCAAGTCTGTTCAAATGATTCCCCTTGAAGACTCCTCATGGCCTATAGCTTTACAGCCCACAAAACTCCTCAGCACACTCTTAGTCCTGTGTGGTCTGACCTACTCACCTGCTGCTACTTCCCCACCCATTCCTATGTTCCAGCCAGTATCCAGACTGAGCCATACTTCTGAAGCTTGCTGTTTGGGATGTCTAAGTGCCAGCGCCTTCTTGGCTTACTTTGACCTGGTTCATCTCCCACTACAAGAAGGCTTTCCTGACCAACTCTCTTACATCATTTGATCCCTCATCCTGGCCACCTGTCTCCTATGTATACCTTTTTTTATCACATAGTTTGGCAATTATTTTCCTACAGATCTGTCTACACCACAAATTGTGAACTTGGGAAAATATAATTGTCATATTTCATGTTTGCATCCCAGCACAGATAAGAATTCTTACAGAACTTCATAAGAGTAACAGCTAAGTTTTACCAGGCACTTACACTGAGCTAAGAGTTTCACATGCACTGACTTGTCAATCCTCACAACCATATGAGATAGGTACTATCATTATACCCACTGACAATAGAGGAAACCGAGGCAACAGAGACCATTTGCCCAAGTTCATTTGTCAAGTCCACAGATTTAAACTCAGATCTGATTCCTGGTCTTAACCACTTAGTACTATCTACTCTGTAAATGTTTGCTAAAGATTAAAGAGCCAGTGGTGGTCCCAAAATATATGATTTAAGACTTTCTTCGTTTAATCTTATTTTCTGAGGAGATAGACTGTCATACACACGTTCCAGGACTCCAGACAGAGTAACCGAGATGGAAGCGCCAGTCTAGGTATCGACTGTGGCTGGGAGGCTGGGAAAGGCCTTTTCCTCTAGAAGGTAAAGGGGGACTTGAGAGCTGGCGGATATGGGCACACCCAGGGGCGTAGAGCTGGATCGGGGGAAGGGTCCGGCCGGTGCCAGGCAATGTAAGAGGTGTGTGTGTGTGGTGGGGGGGGGGGGGTCGTCCAGCGTGGGTTCCGGAAGCAGGAAAGGCGAGCAGGTGTGGGATCTATATTAGGATGAGGGCGAGGAGGACGCTCTGCGCAGAAGGACACAGCTCGGCCTCCGCCCTCAGCGAAGCACCCTCATCTCCGGAGTTTGCTGGTTCGCAGGCCTGGAGTGGGCTAAGACCTATCCAGAAACGGGGAACGGAGGTTCAGACGAGCCCCTTCAACTCCACGGATTCTTTTGCCCTGAGGTGCTAACTGCGCCCCACTTTAACTCTGGCCTCTTCACAGAAGTGGCTGCACGCCTTCAGGGTAAACGCCGGACTGGGGGAACGGAGAAGTGGATGGAAGAGCCCGGAGCCCCGAGGGAAGGGCGGGGGAGCCTGGGCCGGAAGGCGTCCCAGGCTCGGCTGGGAGCCGGCGCTCTCTTTAGACGCCACCCGCTGCCCCCGCCCCGGAGCCGGCCGGGACGGCACAACGTCTCCGCCCCTAACGCACCGCGCACCTCACCTTGAACGCCGCCCCACCCACCGCCAACCTATTGGGCCGGCCGGGCCGAGGCGAGGCGACGATTGGTTGAGATGTCTCCCGAAGGCTCCGCCCCCGTCCCCGCCCCCATCCCCATCCGCCGGTACTTTGGACGGCGGCGTGGCGCCCCTCCTCCCCGCTCGGTCCCCGCCCCCTGGAGCAAATGCTGCCGAGCTGCGGCCGCGGGGCAGATGCACGCGCTCGGGCCCTTCTAGCAGGCGCGAGCCGTCGCTGGGCGCGCGAAAGCGAAAGAAGGAAGAGGAAGGGAGGGCGGGGGCGGGGTGTTGAGGAGGGGCGGGAGGAGGAAGAGGAGGAGGTTGGAGCGCGCTCACGCTTGGCCTCGAGCCCGCGCGGAGGGAGGGGGAGAGGGGCGCGCGCGCGCACGCTCGCGCTCTCGCTCGCTCCATCCATCCATCCTCCGGTCGCGGCACGCGCGCGCGCTCCGGGCTCGCGCCGCACCCCCCGCCCGGGAGAGGCGGGCTGGAGTGGGGGGCGGGGGGAGGGGCGCGCGGACGGCGCGCGGACTGCGCGCGGGCGGGGTGAGGTGAGGAGGAGGAGGAGGCGGCGACGGGACGAGAAGGGAGGGGAAGGGGCCATGGCCGCCCGGTGAGGCGGCGAGGCGGGGGGGCGGCCCGACCCCCCGGCCCCGGGCCCTGGGCCTCGGGGAGAGACGAGGACGGACCGACGGACATGGGGCTCCGGAGCAGCCGCCGCCGCCGCCGCCGCCGGAGGACGCGGCCCTGAGAGGCCGCCGGGCCCCGGCGCGGCCCCCCGGGCGGGGTGAGTACGGGACGGAGACGGACGGGGGAGGGGCCTGCGGGGGGCGGGGCCCGAGGCGGGGCTTGGGCCCCCTCCCCCCAGGTCTGGGTCAGCGCCCCTTCCCCTCCCCCCGGGCCGACGCGGAAACGCCCGGCTTCCCCCGGCTTCCCGGCCCGGCCGGGGGCCCCTGCACTCCCCCTGTCTGGGTCCCCCCTGGGCGGGGCAGGGCCGGCCGGGGAGGGGGCGCGGGGCCTTTGTTAGGGAGCCAGGCCCCAGCCCCCGGGACAATAGAGACACCCTCCCGGACTCCTCTCCCCGGCCGTCCGGGTCTGTCGGCGGGTGGGGAAGGAGAGTGGCCGGGACGCGTCCCACTCTGCCCACTCTCTAGGGGTCGGTCTGTCCCGGACCGGCGCCGGCCTCCGGCAGCTCGGCTCTCCTCCCCCCAGTCGGTATGATGCAGCAGCAGTGCCGCAGGGACGGGGGAAGAGCCGAGGCCCGGCCTCCTACTCTCCCCAGTGCCCCTGGCTCATTTGTCAGTCCCCACCCCACTCTAGGCCGGCTGCTCCTTAAACTCGTACCCACCACTCAGAGGGGCCCCGGACTGTGGGCACTGTTTCTGAATCCTTTGGTGCGAATTCCTGGACTTTGGGGCTCTTGGAGAGACTTCCGGGCAGGTCCTGAGGGAGGGAGGGTGGTTGTCTAAAAGAAGAACAGGTAAGGGGAGTGCCCACTGCTGGCATGCCATCCCACCGGGGTTCTACCCCGTCTTGCTCTTGGTGACTAGAAATGCCCCTCTAGCTCTAGGTTTCTATGGGCTCTGGCTCCCCTCCTGTAGTGGCAGGCTTATTTCAAGGGAAGACAGTAGGGTGAAGGTTGTAGGGTCTTAGGGCCATTCCTACTTCTGGTAGCAGTACCCCCCCAAGTGGACATCCTGGCTGAAAGCAGAGGTGACTCTGAGGAGAGCCTAGAGAAGGGGGGTTGTATTTAGGAGTCTGTGCAGTTCTTTGCCACACCCTATGGGGCCTTAGAGTTCCTTCTCCTCCCCCTGCTGCATTGCACCATGGGTATCAAAGAGGGGTTTGAGTTTTGGGGACCTGGGGTGAGCTGCTGCCTTCTATAGACCCAGACTCTGATTGGCAGTAGAGTCCAGGGCCTGGGTTAAGGCCTGGGAAGGACTAGGCCAGGTTCTGAAGGACCATCCAGACTTAGTGAGCCTAGGCCTTAGGGAGGGGTATATCCTGATGCCAGGATTAAGCTCTGGGCAGCGAGGTATGGAGGGGAGGTGGCAGTGTTCAGAGGTACCTTGGACTCATACCAACACCCCCATCCCCTTGTGTGCAGCCGTGTTGCCGCCCGCTGTGCTATGAGCAGTCAGAGCGCCGTCTCCACAAGAGTTTACAAATGAAAATGGAGGAAATGTCTTTGTCTGGCCTGGATAACAGCAAACTAGAGGTGAGGGCTCCCCCACGTGTGCCTCTAGTTCTTTCTCTTGATGTCTCTACGTCGTTATATCTGGCATCCACACCAAAGAGGAATTTGGGTAGTCAGCCTTGTTCCTTAAAGGGAATAGAGCCAGCTGAAAAGACCCAAGGATCCAGAAGAAGAAAGAAGGCAAAGTCAAGATGGGGGAAATGGCAAAGAAAGCATTATTTTTGGCCAGGGCCAATTGGCAGGAGATTGGTTGGTGAGAACTGCTTTCAGTCCACGGGGCTGTGACACTCATGACGATGGATGCTCTCCCCTACCCCAGGCCATCGCTCAGGAGATATACGCTGACCTGGTCGAGGATTCTTGTTTGGGATTCTGCTTTGAGGTACACCGGGCTGTCAAGTGTGGCTACTTCTTCCTGGACGACACGGATCCTGATAGCATGAAGGATTTTGGTGAGCTTCAAGGTTGAAGGAGAGCAGTCCAGCCCTGCCCTGGTAGTGCTTGGAAGTTCCTTCTCTGGAAATTGCATCACATGTAGCTCCTGAGAGCTCCTGAGAATTTAGGCAGGGAGTTGGAAGAGGCCATGGGGATGGGAATGAGGTGAGGGTCCCCTGCCTGCCCTGATCGCCACGCCTCTCCTGTCCCCAGAGATCGTGGACCAGCCGGGGTTGGACATCTTTGGACAGGTTTTCAACCAGTGGAAGAGCAAGGAGTGTGTTTGCCCCAATTGCAGCCGCAGCATTGCCGCTTCCCGCTTTGCTCCCCATCTGGAGAAGTGCCTAGGAATGGGTCGGAACAGCAGCCGAATTGCCAACCGCCGGTGAGGGCTTCTCCCCCTGCTGAAACCAGAGCTGCCTATCTTTTGCAACTTGTAACATGGTGTAGTTCCCTGGGGGCATTTGTAGGGTACAGAAGGTGGGTCATGCTGGCCCACCTATATGGGGGCAAGAGTGAGGTGGCAACCTTGGCCCTTTCTCTTTTCTACCCTTGTCAGGATTGCCAATAGCAACAGTATGAACAAGTCTGAGAGTGACCAAGAGGATAACGATGACATCAATGACAATGACTGGTCTTATGGCTCAGAGAAGAAAGGTGTTTGGGGATCTGGGGAACCTTGGGGGCAGTGGAGTGAGGTGGGCCAGTGGGAACTGGGTATGTAATGATCACAAGTTATTATTTTGAATAAGTGGGGAGAATGTAGCTTTGTACTTTCCTTTCGGTGCCCTTAGATTGGGAACTTAAAGTGACCCTGCCCTTTATCCTTTTGTCCTACACAGCCAAGAAGAGAAAATCAGACAAGGTGAGAGCTGGGGCAAGCATGAGGGAAATTTGGGCGAAGGACAGATACCCTCCCCTTTGGGCAGGGAGTCCTCGGGTATCTTGACTCAAGTCTGAGGTCTTTGGGTGCCTCTGGGTTCTGGGATGAGGGTGTCTGTGGTGGGCAGGAGGGCAGCAGAGGCCTTGGGGGGATGGAGATGGATATGGATAGAAAGAGTAGGAATTTGAGGATGTTTCTTTGTCAAATCTTTTTTCCTTCCCTGGGTTCTCGGCTCCCCCTTATCGTTACCCTTTCCCCAAAGCTATGGTATCTCCCATTCCAGAACCCCAATTCCCCTCGAAGATCCAAGTCTTTAAAACACAAAAATGGTAAGTGGGGCTAAAATAACGTTAGTAATTCTAGCTGTGCTTTCTGGGACTCGTTGCTGGAGGGTGGAGGTGGGAGGCTTGGGGGACAGGGGTATCGAGGGAGGGCCTGTGATCCTTCTGTCACCCCCACTTCCTCTCTGGTTATTTTCAGGGTTCTCTGTCTGTACCTCTGCATCAAACACCCTTCCCCTTCTTTTTTCTTCTTCAGGGGAACTTAGCAATTCGGATCCTTTTAAGGTGAGTAGGGGCTGCCCCTCTTAGGTTCCCTTTCATTTTCCTTGTTGTGGGTTGGCTGGGATTTAGACAAGTAGGGGTCAGAATGCTGACAGCCAGAAGCACACAGTGGGGTATTTAGACTTTGCATATTTATGTTCTTTCTGGGCTCCAACCCCTCACCATGTGCAGGTGGAATAGAAGGAATCATTGGAAAACTACTAGCAAGTCTTAAGGCTTCCTCACTTAGAAAGGGTTTAGAGGGATTGGTTCTCCACCCCATCCCCATCCTTCTTTCTTTGGCTGCTGCTTCTCTAACCTGTATCTCTGGTTCTCCCCCAGTATAACAGTTCAACTGGGATCAGCTATGAGACCCTGGGACCTGAAGAGCTGCGTAGCCTGCTCACCACGGTGAGGGACCAGGGAAGGGGAGGCCTTTGGGAGTGGGCCGAAGCCACAGGCAGTGGTCAAGGCCCTGGAGGAGGCTGGTGACATAGCGATCAGGGCTATATATATATATGTAGTTCCCTCTCTGAATTTAGATTTCCTGGCAAATGGTGGTCTGGGACCATCATCTCTGGACACTTGGGGACCTTTTTTGTTTGTGCAATCTAGCATTTATACAGAAGAAAATGTCTAGTGTCTAGAGTAGGTTCCCCTCCATCCCTCTTTTCAGCTTATATTCCTCTTCCAGCAATGTGGGGTGATTTCTGAACATACCAAGAAGATGTGCACAAGGTGAGCTCAGAACCTAGAAAGGGGTCCAGGAGGTTCTCCTGCACACTAACTCTGGGCATGGGCAGGAGTATCCCTGGACTTGAGCAATGGGACTCCCACCCTTCCCCTCCCCTCCTCAAATGGTCAGGCCTTAGGCCACAATCTGGGGGCTCTGTGTTCATCCCTTCCCTATTATTGTCCATCTCTTCTGCCTCTGCTGAGGGTAGGGGCTTCACTTGAGTTCCTTAGACCTTTACTGTCTTATCAGGGTCTGATCATTCTCTCCCCACCAGGTCCCTGCGCTGCCCGCAGCACACGGATGAGCAGCGGCGAGCCGTGCGGATTTACTTCCTCGGACCCTCTGCGTAAGTGGACCCTCCAAGAAGGGTAGTGGATTGTGAAAGGTTAGGATGATTGGTATCTGTAAAGTTCATCTCTGGCCCATCCCCTTTCCAGCGTCCTTCCAGAGGTCGAGAGTTCGCTGGATAATGACAGCTTTGACATGACTGACAGCCAGGCCCTGATCAGTCGGCTTCAGTGGGATGGCTCCTCTGATCTCTCACCCTCTGATTCAGGCTCCTCCAAAACGAGTGAGAATCAGGGATGGGGTCTAGGTAAGTGATTCAGCTGGGCCTGAAGCAAAGGAGTGGTCGGGGCACCTTGTGTTCTCCTGCTACAATCTTGCCCTCATCATTTGTGTCTCTTTATCTTCAGGTACCAACAGCTCCGAGTCAAGGAAAACCAAGAAAAAAAAGTCCCATCTAAGCCTGGTAGGGACTGCCTCCGGCCTGGGCTCCAACAAGAAGAAAAAGCCAAAGCCACCGGCACCCCCGACGCCCAGCATCTATGATGACATCAACTGACTTGGGTGCAGAGGATAGCCTTTGGCTAAGCAGAGCTCTCTCTCCCGACCCCCACCCAGGTGGCATAGCCTGGCAAATGGACGGCTGCTGGGGGTCTGGGCTTGGGAAGCTTGGTGGGCCAGGCAGGCAGAGGATCCAATTATGCGCCCCTGGGGGGTGTCCGGTCCTCTGCGATGGAGTACGACCCCTCGGCATGCAGGACTCAGACCTGGACATATTATGCCTTGGACATAAGTTCGGCGGGGAGGCGGTTTTCATATTTATTCTGTGAGTTACTGGATGTCCAGCTAGGCCAGGGGCCTGACATGGGCACTCTGCCAGGGCACTGCCTGCCCCCCAACCCAGGAACTGGACTAAGCCCTGCCGAGGAGCACTGAGGCTACCTGGGAGGCTGTGGGTTAGAAGCTGAGCCTGGAGGGGGCCTCCCCCAGCTGCCCTCAGCAATGTGAATGGGTCCGGTGCTTGGAGCTGAGGGGCAGGGCTGGGTGTTCCTGTGTGCAGAATCCTATCAAATGCCCCAAATCCCAGGGGTAGGCAGGCACAGGGAGCTGTCTGCTGAGGTAGGCGTCCAGAACTGCCGCCACCTTCCCTGCCCCTCACAGGGGCAGCCCTTTCCCCTCAGTTCCCATGGGCCTCCTCAGCAGCAGGAGCTGTCCTTTTGTTGTTGGGTGCCAGGAAAGGGCCTCCAGCCTCTACAGCTTCAAATAGGCAAGGGGAGGTAGGAAGAGGGAGCTCTGTATTAAAATGACTCCCCCTACCTTTTCTTCTTGACCCAGGGCTGGTGAGGAGTGGGGCCCCAAGGTGAGAGGGAACGGTGCTGCTTTATTTGAAATGTTTTCTTACCTCATTCCCTGCCCCAGGAAGGGGCTCAGCCTCAGCCTCACCCTCCTGGGGTGGCCCCATGTTCCTCCTGCCTACCCTGCCCCACTGGCCTTCCAGGGCAGCCCATGTTCCCAACTGCTGCTTGCCACGCCCCTCTTTCACCTTGACCAGCTTCAGTTCCTCTCTCAGTGCTCCTGCCTCCAAAGCCTGCCCTGTTTCCCTTTCCTTAGCCGCTTTTAAGTTATTTATTCTGTACTTGTGGTTTGGGGCTCCGAGGAAAATCCTGATCTTTTACCTCTTCCCCTTTGCTAGGAGTGGGGTGGGAAGAGAGGGTAGTCTCTATGCTCTGGGTTATCAGTGGAAGGGAAGGGGGGTATCATGTCTAGGCATTGCTCCTCTGTGGACCGTCATGCCAGTGTGCCCACCTGCCTGGTCTACATCCTGAAGAGATGTACCGTCCCACCTCCATGCAGGCGCCATCACTCCCAGGAGCTGAGCTGGAGGAATGCAGTCTGGGCTGGGAGCAGAGCTGACTGACACTGGTGGAGATGACCCTAAGCCAAGTTCTCTGGCATTTGCTGGATGTGTCCCCTGTCCTCCTCCCAGGAGGAGTTATCCCACATTGGGTAGCTAGTACCCAGGACTTGGACTGATTTGGATTAGGGATCCTAGAGGGTTAAGGGAGCAACATAGGTGGGGTTGTAGTGACCCTGTCTGGAACCCCAATCTCCTCCTGGGGTGGTTCTACTTGTGACTGATGCCTGGTTGCAAATTGGTTTTTAACCCAAGAATTGTGATTATTTTTTAAAAAGCCAAATTTTGTCAGGAGTTAGAATAAATCCTGGGGCCTGGGCTCCTCCGTTCTTTACCCTCCAGTCTTCTCCCTCTAAGGGGAAGCCAGAGGTAAAGGAGGATCTCAGCCAGCTTCCAGCCTGCTTCCAAATGACGTCTTGGAAGTAGGTTGAAGGTGAAGGGAGGAAGGCCAGGGGCCATTCTCCCTTCTGAGAGGCAGCTGCAGTTCAGGCCCTAATATACCCTTTCCCCTCTGGCCTCTCCCATTCTCCCTTCTGTTTGGAGGAGGGAGAAGTGGGAAGTAGTTTGGGAACTGGTTTGTCCACATCCACTTCCCCATTGTTCCTTGGCTTCCCTCAGGGCAGAGCCCCCTGCCCAGGCTGGGTAAGAGATGGGCTTGGTCCAAAAGGGACCCTGAGGGAACAAATCCCTTTCCTTCCCAGGAAAGTATGCCCCCCCTACCATGTAGCTGACCAGGGGCTAGGAGCTCCCCACTCCCCTCCCTCTAACAGCAGGCTGTGTGGGTTTCAATTCCCATCCTTCCCACCCTGGCTAGGTGTTGTCCACCCTGTATCCTATCATGTGTCTGAGTGTGTGTGGGGGGGGTTCTGTACTAATTTCCATGGCCGGTGGCTTTTCCTTCCATGCATCACTCCCCCCCGCATGCCCAGGGGCCACCCGCCTGGCATTACCGCATGCTGGGGTCATTGGGGGAGGGGGGTGGGGGCTCACGCTGTCCTGTGGTCTTGAGATTTTTATTTTTGCATATGTAATCCATCCTGTACAGGTAGCTAACTTTGTAAACGCTGTGTATTTCCCCTGCCCCCATGGCTGCTGGTGTAAATAAACTGCATCTCCCGTTGGTAGCCTGGCCTACCCACCCTCATTACCATGTTGCTGTGGGCAGAGCAAAGCCATTCTCTTAATTTCACAGAAGGAGGCTCCACAGCCACAAAATGGAACTTTATTCAGTCACAGACACTGACCAGAGGCATGGGCCTGGGGCACAGTGCTCCATACCTAGAGCTCCTTGGAGCTGGGCAGCACTGGCTGAGAGCCAGAGCTGTTTCTTGCTTACAGCCTTAGCCCTAGGGTAGCAGCAGCTGTGGCCTGGCCTCTCCCAATGCTGGGGGGCTTGGCTTTGTGCCCCAATTACCTTCCTGATGGAGTTCTATAAAGGACTATTAAAAAATAATAATAAAGAATACAAGCAAAGTGCTTTGAAAAAATAGAACACTGGAAACTGTCCAGAGCATGGAGAACACCATATTCCTGCTACAGGGGTAGAGGGAGAAGGGAGAGGCAGTTAGGTGCCTATAGGGCAAGCTGACACAGCCTTCATTCCTGCCTGTGTGATTTTAGTCTCAAAAAATGGGTATTCCACTAAGGAATTAAAAGATACTCCAGGCTCCCTACAGAAGTGTCCTGGGGCCATGCTAAGCTGCTCTGGCAGGTGGCCCTGGATGCTGAAGAACACACATGCAGGACAATGGGAAGAGCTAGGGTCACTGCTAGGAGAAAATCCTCAGAGCCTAGGCTCTCCACTAAGCTGGGCCACCAATGTGGCTCTGAACTCCAGGACCCTAAAAGTGAAGGAAGAGGACATCCTCATTTCTACCTGAGTTGTGCTTGCACAGAGGAGATGTCTGTACCCTCATGGACATGAAGGGGAAGCCCCATACCAGCCTCCTTTGTCCTATGGAAGGGGACCCACCTTATCCTTTCCACCCCTCCCTCCCAGGCCCTTGGGCCCAGCTCTGGCCAGGAAAGTGGGGAGGCTATAAAGGAGGAAGACCATGCCTTTCATTTTCTCCCTATGTCCTTATCGTCCATACATCCCGAATACTAGGAAGCTGAAGAAGACAGTGACCCCAACCAGGGAGACAGTGGCAGGTGCTGTGAAGAACTGGCGGTAATTGATACGGAAGTACCAGACTACACCTAACAGCACCACAAACACAGGCACCATGAGGCTGCCCACACTGACACCGAGACTGGGGGCCTCAGTGGCTGAGGAGGGGGCCAGGGAAGCTGAGGAGCCTGGAACAGCTGACCCTGGGGGTGAGCGGTGGCAGTGAATCACACAGTTGTTGGTAATGTTCAGGGAACGAAGTGTGCAGGCTGGGTCCTGCAGCAGGCGGCCCTGGTAGATCAGTTTCATCTGGCTCTCTTGTCCAGGGAAGTATTTACTGTTAGGAGGAAAGAAAAGGAAAGACAGAAGGCAAGGGATGAGAAGACAAATAGGCCTGAACCAATAAAGCAGGGCAACGGGAAAAACTGAAGGGTGGGTTTCAAAGAAATCTCACTCATTCCTAATAGGGGCTGGATCTGACACTTCCCGCTGGGGACATGGGGTAAAAACAGCCTCCCACTTTCCAGCTCACTCACCTCTTTAGTGTACCCACAGTATCTTCTGGCCTGGCCACAGCCAGCTCCTCGGTGTCATTGAGGAATTTGAGCCGCACATTGATGAGGCCAGGGCTGGGAGGCAGGCAGGTGCTATCCTCAGATCTCAGAGGGGCTTCTGGACTGCTGCTCTCTGGGCCTACTTGTCTCTTGGGCAGGCCTTGGATGTCAAGCAGATGCTCAAGGCTGGGCTCAACACCACCTCCAGCTCCAGGCTCCCCTGCAGAGTCTCCCCCACTTTCTCCAGCCTCTTCAGACTTCTCCTCATTACCCTCTGATGGATGGGGGAGTTCAGTTGGCTCAGGGGTGCCTTGGCCCACCACTAGATGGTCCACATGCCCCAGGTGGAGGACGGATGTGTCGCCAGCTGACACAATAGTGCCTAGGAAGTGGCTGCTACTGCTGTCTGCTACATAGGTAGAAAGCCAAGCTAGGACCAAGGCTAGAATCAGCACCACCACACCTGCCACCACAGTCACTTCATTACCTATACCCTCAATAAGGGTGACATCAGAGAGTTCCATGGCCTGGCTGCTGATGGGGTCCACACTGCAGGAACAAAGGGGGATAACATCAGCAGGGCCTATGGGGTTACAACCAGGTTTCTAGTTTGTTTAGGTTCTAACTGACTCAGCCCTGAAAGAAAATGGCATTTACTGCCCTGTAGAAGGGGAAACAAACCTTCCTAACTCTGAACCTCCAACCTAAATCTAAGGATTTACCCTTTACCTCTATTGTGAAACTCCTTCAGGTTCCACACCCTTCCTCTCTCACAATCCAACCCCCCCCCCCCCCCCCCCAATGAGCATGGATGGATCATCAGGAAAACCTTACAGCTTTGATGCTGTTGCAATTGTTTGTTGCTTTTCGGGCAGGTAGGAAAAAACATTTGCTTCTTTGAATCCTGAGTTTCTCTAGGACTTCTATCACTTGCTCAAGCAACTATGCCCCTTTGAAGAGCCTCCAAGGTGGCCTCAGAGAGACCAAAAAGCCTGTAATATTTCATTTTGGGGCCCCTTTGGAGGCATAATGCAACCATTCTTGCCAGATTGTCTCATTTAAAACCCTATCTCACTCATAGTCACATTCCTAGGACTAGATGTCAAGAGCCAAAGAAAATTAGTTTATCATCAAAAGCAATGTCAGCCCTGGCTGGTTTGGCTCAGCGGTTGGAGCGTTGACCTGCAGAACAGAGAGTCCCGGGTTCGGTTCCCGCTAAGGGCATGTACCAAAAAAAAAAAGCAATGTCAGATCTCCTCAAAGGACAAGAGAGTCAGAAAACCCCAAAGGCCTTGTAGACACTATACAGCAGGCACTATATAGCAGACACTGTGTCTGCCTCCTAAGAAACTCTTCTGGCAAGCTCTGGGGAGCAAAGTAGGTCTGACACCAGACACACCACCCTCCTGGGTCAGTATAGGCTCACAACTAAAAAACCACTACCTGAGGGGAACAGATCTGGAAAATTCCCAAAATATCTGTCACAATCTACATCTAGTCTCTCTTTCTGTACTGTGTAGGTTCTCCGTTGTCAATTTCTTAGAAAGGTAAGATCTCAGCTTGCTCCTTGGAGTACCTACTCTTTCCCTTGGAGAATCTGCTGCTTTCACAGCTGTCTCTGGGCAAATTCAGTCTAATGATTATGATTACCAGACTATCCTCACAGCAACTATAAGAACTCACTATATTCATCTAACTGTCCATCTCTCTGTATTAGACTCCTAGAAGACAAGGATTACATGTATTTCTCTATGTACTGTAGTGCCCAGCATGATATAGTAGTTGCTCAAACAATATCTGTGGAATGTACCAACATCTGACTAGTTTCCACATCCTAACTTAGTATATGGGCTCTGGAGTCAGGGAAAAAAAAACTAATTTATAATCTTGGTCTTGCCTCTTACTAGCTCTGTAAGTTTGGACAACTTTCTCAGAACCTCAGCTTTTTCATCAGTAAAACGGAGTTAAAAACAGCACCTACCTGCCCTGGCCGGGTGGCTCAGTTGGTTGGAGCATCCTCCCATACAACAAAAGGTTGCAGGTTTGATTCCTGGTCAGGGCACATACCTAGGTTGCAGGTTCGATCCCCAGTGGGGAATGTAGGGGAGGCAACTGGTCCTTCGATGTTTTCTCTCTCTCTCTCTAAAAATCAATGAAAACATATCCTCAGGTGAGGACTAAAAAAAACAAAACTGATCCCATTATTGCTCTGCTAAAAATAGTACCTACATCATAAGGTTGTTTTAAAGATGACAGGAAATCATCGAAGCAAAATACTTAGCAGAGTGCCTGGCACATTACAACTGTTCAATAATTAAATGGCACCAATTATTTATCACTCCCACAACTGACCCCTGATGGTAAGAAAGTTAATGTCATTAAACCCGATTTACAGAAAAGGAACTGCGGCGAACAGAGGCGAAAAAGGCACAGATACAGGGAACTTTCGTAGGTAGGGGGCCGGACAAGACCCCAGGTCTCCCGCGCCAGAGGCCTTCGCTCTCTCCTCAGCCTGTGAGCGACCCTGACCGCGCGGTGAGGGGGCGTCCCCTGCCTTTTCTGAGGCGAAGTCTCCGCGTTTGGGCGGTCCTATTCTCGCAGCACTGGAGAGGGGTCCGTGGGCCCACCCGAGCCGAAAGGTTGCCTGGTCCCAGCCGCCGAGCCCTAGCCCACTTCTACCAGCCGGTGAGGGGTGGAATCGGGTGAGTGGGTCACAAACCATCCACACCCCTCAAACTTCGGGGCGGGGCCGGGGGCTGAGGGCGGGGCTTGAGTACGCGGGGAGTCATGGGAAATTAAGAGGGGACTGGACCAGTACTACACCTGGATAGGGAAAGAAGTCCTCACCTGAAACGGCCAGACTAAGTGTTTTGACTTCGTCAGGACGGCCCATGGACTCACCTTTCCGTAGGGGCCGGGGAAGGGGCTTGCTAGCCCCGATTCTGTCCAGGATCCAGTCTCTTCCGGCTTCTCCCGGAAGCTGTTAGAACCAGAGACAGGAAGTCCCGCCTCCTCGCCTTGCACTGATGACGCAAAATCTACGTAAGGCGGGCTGACGTAAACATATTCTTTAAAGGGGACAGGTTTCCCAGCGGAGGGAGGGGCGGAGTCATTGTTGGCGGGATCTTGGCCCTCCCGGGGCAGGGCCACGCCTAGTGGGCGGGGTCAGAGAAGCCGTGAGTTAAGGGGCGGGGTTAGAGGGAGTAGGGGGAGGTGCTTGGAAGGGGCGTGGTTTCAGGTCTGGACGATCGAGCGAGCTGGCACCGCTGGGCAGAACCCGAGCAGCACTTCCCTCTTTCCAGTCTTATTCTTCCGGCCTTGCTTCCTGCCTCCCCGTCTGATACGATTTATTACTGCTCCGGGTTAGCGGGATCAGAAAGTTCTGATCTTTCTGACCTCCGAGAATTCAGGGCTAGTAGGAAGACAAACAGGGAGACAATTTTGTTACCATCCGGTGCCCCGAGAATGCGGCCCCAGGTAGTGTGGGACTTGGGTAAATTATGCAAGAAAGCTTTTCAAAAAAGGCACAGATTCAGCGCAGGTTTAGAACATAAAAAAAGCAGGAACCCAAGAAAAGGTTCAGCTTCTAAGAACTTATCCAGATTTTTGCAATACATTTTTTTTCTAAAGGCGTGCTAGGGTTTTTGCTGTTTTCTGGTAAACTATTGATTGAAGTATAAATAATGGAGACAGGGGCAAACCCGTAACGAAGAGCTCGGTGCTATTCGCCAACAGAACGCACCAGTGGAACTAGCATTTGGAGCAAGAGATAGAAAATGACCCATAACTCCCCTACTTGTCCTCTTCCAGGCACTAACTTACAAAGATTAGTCACAATCTGACTTCTGTCACCATAGATTAGTTTTCTCTGTTTCTGTGCTTTGTGTAAATGGGATCAAAGAGTATATGTACTCTTTGGTGTCTTAATTTTTTTTTTTTTTCCTCACTCGAGGACATTTTTCTATCTTTTTGTTCAGATAGAGTGGGAGGGAGAGAGAGGAAGAAAGAGAAACGTCGACGTGAAAGGGACACATTGAATGGTTGCCACCTGCACGACCCAACCAGGGCTGGGGACAAACTGCAACCGAGGTACGTGCCCTTAGCGGGAACCAAACCCGGGTCTCTCGGGACCGCAGGCCGACGCTCTAACCGCTGAGCCAAACCGGCTAGGGCTGGTGTCTGAATTTTTTTCAAGTCTTTTTTATTATGGGCAAATATACATAAAACTTACTTTAACCATTTTAAGTGGCTAGTTCAGTGGCCTGAAGTACATTCACAATATGCACCCATCACCACTATTCATTTCCTGTACCCATTCCTCCTCCTCCCTATATTCTGCTGTCTATGAATTTGCCTATTCTAGGCAACTCATATAAGTGGAATCATACAATATTTGCAATATTTGTCTTTTTGTATCTGGCTTCTTTCTTTTTGAGAAAGAAACATCAGCCTGACCAGGGATCTGTGTTCCCTGACTGGGTATCAAACCTGTAACCTTAGTGTATTGGACCAATACTTTAACCAACTGAGCTACCCAGCTAGGGCTGGCTTATTTCACTTAGCATGTTTTCAAGGGTCATTCATGTTGTAGACCATATCAAAATTGTATTCCTTTTTTTTTTTAGACCAGAAGCTCCCTTTTTTTTTTTCCTTTATTGACCTTTGAGAGAGAGGAAGGGAGAGGGAGAGATACAGAAACATTGATGAGAGAGAACATCAATTGGTGGTCCCCTGCATGCCCCCAACTGGGGATCAGGCCCACAACCTGGGCATGTGTCCTGACTGGGAATCGAACCAGCAAACTCTTGGTGAATGAGTCGACGCTCAACCACTGAGCCACACCAGCCATAGGGCTGTATTCCTTTAAAAAATTTTTGTTGCTGTTGTTAATCCTCACCCAAGGATATTTTTCCATTGCTTTTTAGAGAGAGTGGAAGGGAGGGAGAGAGAGAGAGAGATAAATATCTATGTGAGAGAGCGACTGGGGCCAGGGATCAAACCTGCAACCCAGGTAGGTGCCCTTGACCAAATTAAACCCATGACCCTTTGGTGCACAGGCCAACATTATAACCACTGAGTCAAATGGGCCAGGGCAAAATTGTATTCCTTTTTTTTTTTATCCTCCCCTGAGGACATTTTTCCATTTTTTGTTCAGATAGAGTGGGAGGGACAGAGAGGAAGAGGAGAGAGAGAGAAACATCGACGTGAAAGGGACACATTGAGTGGCTGCCACCCGCACAACCCAACCAGGGCCGGGGACATACACGCCCTTAGCGGGAACCAAACCCCGGTCTCTCCAAACCGCAGGCTGACGCTCTAACCTGTATTCCTTTTTAAGGTTGCTTAATATTCCTCTGTATGTATATACCACTTTTTCTTCATCCATTCATCTGTTAATGGACATTATGTTCTTTTCATTTGGGTTATTATGAATAATGTGTCTATGAACACTGATGTACAAGTATCTGTTTGAGTTGCTTTCAGTTTTTTTGTATGGCTTCTTTTGATCATATTTTTTGAGAGGAAAGGTACTGTTTTAATTTCTGCTTATATGTACCTTTTAGGTTTAAGTATTAGTGCTTTTATTTTGAAGGACACAGGATGGGGCATGACACTATAGGACGGTTCATGACACCATAGGACGGTTCAACAGAATTTTGAAGAATGAGTAGAGATTTACCAAGCAAAGTTCCAAACAGAGAGAGACTAAGAGGTTCAAGGCTCTCGGATATTTGAGGGAATGAATAAACTAATTAGTTAAACTACTGTTTATGCTTTTGAGAGTTTATTATGTGCTAGGTACTGTTCATTTGGAATCCCTCCCCAGTTCCTTCCTGATGTGGGTACTATCCTTTGTAAGGGCTGAATTGTATTCCAGAGCATGGATTTGTTTACCACCTCTCACTTGCCAAGTTGTTGCAAGCAATGTCAGAATGAGGATTCCCATATGCCAGCCTTTTGTGTAACTGGAGAGCAATACTTAAGGATACTGTTAAATTGCCCACCAAAGAGGCAATTTCCTTTCCCACCAATAGGGTGTGCAAGAACTTTTTTCTCCATATCTTCACAGGCTCTGCATATTATCAGTCTTTAGAAATTTCCCCAATCTAGTGGAATATCATATTGCTGTTTTAATTTGCACTTCTCTGATTGCTGGTGATGTTGAGTATCATTCATTTACTTGACAGGTATCTGAGTGTCCAGTCTCTTGCTAGGCACTGTAGAGGCACCAAGTCAACATTGGTAATAAAACAGATGTCATTCTTGCCCTCTCAAATCAAGGGAATAAAATATTTTAGCTGTACTACATTTTCCAATATTTTGCCTCTTTTTTTATCCTCACCCGGGGACATTTTTTCATTTTTTGTTCAGATAGAGCAGGAAGGAGAGAGAGGAAGAGAGAGAGAGAGAGAGAAACATCGATGTGAAAGGGACACATCGAGTGGCTGCCACCCACACGACCCAACCAGGAAAAAACTGCAACTGAGGTACATGCCCTTAGTGGGAACCGAACCCGGGTCTCTCTGGACCGCAGGCCGACGCTCTAACCGCTGAGCAAAACTGGTCAGGGCCAATATTTTGCCTTTCCCTGTATTTATGATTTGGTGTTTCCATAAAACTTTTACTGGATCCATATCTATTAATCTTTTCTTTTGTGCTTTTACCCTGAAAATCTCCTACCCTCAAATAATATACATAATCACATGTATCTTTTGTTTTCTTTAAACAGATATCTTGTAGTTGTAAATATAACAGAAAAGGCTGAGCTCGGTGGGGTCAGCCTGCTGTGAGAAGGTGGATAGCTCAGCAACCTCCCCTGAAAATGGGGCTCCCAGCTTGGGCCCAGGACTGGAGAGGATTTCACTCTCTTCTCTTGGGCCTTTGGCTCTGAAACTGTCATCCAGAAAGGAGAGGTTGCTGTGCTGCATACTGAGGTAAAAACCTGTCTTTGTGTTGGTCAAGGGGCATCTCGACAAATACAGTTCCATAGAGGAGGGGAGGATCAGCAACAGCTGCAGGAGGCCAACTCCAGGGCTCCTGACTTGTCTCTACTACATGACTCCAAATGGTAATGGTGCTGGGGATCCCAGGGTACCTCAGCAAAAGTACAGGAGTGCAGGCTGTTTGGAGCCCCTCCTCAGTTTCCTTCCTTGGTGGGGTGGGTGCTACAGGCTCAGGGGCTGGGAGGGGCCTCGTGTTGTTCTTATACCCTTTTTCCTATCACAAGAGTAACAGTTGCTCAGTGCAGACAACTTGGGAACCACAGAAGAGGACAACGTGGGGGAAATAAACACAGAGTGATAGGTATCTCAGCCACATTTCAACCTAATAACATTCACAGATTGGTACTGTGCACAAATCATTTATTTGCATTTATAAAAACTAGCTTGGCTTGAAAAGCTTCCTCTTAAAGATGAATGGTGGTACATTCGACTCTGGAACCAGAGGAGGAAGTGAGATAGAGAGCGGGGACAACTGGTGGCTGGTCTTCTTGTCACAAGCCCTCAGAGATCACGAGTGTGGTGACCACTGTTTAAGACACCATGTATCAGTGGGGTGGGGATGGGGTGGGGGCACAACACAACCATAAATGAGTCCTAGGCATCATGCATTTATTGCTCCCTCAACAAGCATTTACTGAAATGCCCATTCAAGGAATATAGTGCCAGTCTCAGCCTAGTTCAGGCAGACACAGGCTCTTTTTCTTTTCTTTTCTTTTCTTTTCTTTTCTTTTCTTTTCTTTTCTTTTCTTTTCTTTTCTTTTCTTTTCTTTTCTTTTCTTTTCTTTTTGTTAATCCTCACTCGAGGATATTTTTCCATTGACTTTTATCTTTTATTTATTTTATTTTATCCTCACCCAAGGACATTTTTCCTTTTTGTTGTTGTTGTTGTTGTTCAGATAGAGTGGGAGGGAGAGAGAGAGAGAGAAACATCAACATGAAAGGGACACATCGAGTGGCTGCCACCCACACGACCCAACCAGGGCTGAGGACACTGCAACCGAGGTACGTGCCCTTAGCGGGAACCAAACCCGGGTCTCTCTGGACCGCAGGCCAACGTTCTAACCGCTGAGCCAAACCGGCCAGGGCTTCCATTGGCTTTTAGATTGAGTGGGAGGGAAGGAGAGAGAGAGAGAGAAACCTCAATTGGTTGCCTCCCGCACGGCCCAGCTGGGGATCGAACCTGCAATCCAAGTACGTGCCCTTGACCAGGAATTGAACCCACGACCCTGTGATCCTCGGGCTGATGCTCTAACAACTAAGCCAAACCAGCCAGGGCCAGACACTGGCTCTTAAATAGGCATGATACCAAGGAAGGCTACCTGCTGTGTTGATCAAATAGTGCTGTTGTGCTGTCTTGAGGATAATTTCAGCTTCAACCAGTGGATAAGGGGAAATGTGGGAAGGGTATACCCAGGAAGGGGAATGCCTGGAAATAAAGGGTTTCAAGAACATAGGTTTCAAGACCAATCAGTGAAATCCTCCTTTCAAATGACAATGACAGGTTGGGCTGAGGCAGTATAGCTAGAGGCAGAGTCTGTCACTCTTTAGGAAGCTGGCTGTTCAGATACATTGGTGGCAGAAGATGAGAGGGTTGCTGCAAGGATCACCACCTCCTGGCTTGGAGCCTAGGTGGATAGAGGGGTCATAATCCACTTAGACAAAGAAGAGGAGGTGGTTGAGTCTTTAGACTGAGTCTTTAGACTTTCCCATCAGAGGGAGGAGCTGGAGCTCAGGTCGGGTTGGAGGTCAGCAGTTGGCTCAAGAAGCCAGTGGAAGAATGAGCTGGCCCAGGAGGATATGCAGAGTGTAGACAGAGGCCCAGGGACTGGTCCTCTAGGGTTGGTAGGATATGATAGATGGAGAAAGCAGGACAAGCTGTGGGAGCAGCCTGGCATGGGGCTCACTGGATGCGCCCCTCCACGTGCAGTAGCAGGTAGTCCCTGAGTAGCTGGGGCAGTGGGAGTCAGGTGGTGCCTGTCAGCAGCGGTTACCCAAGTGAGCACGTGCAGCCAGCCGGGCCAGGTGCTGCAGCTGCCTGGGCTGGTTCACCATGGCCGGGGCTGAGCTGTAGAAGGCCTCATGCTCCTAGGCCAGGAGTGGAACAGGGTGAGATGGCCCAATATCCTGGTCTCTGCCCTTCCAAATAGGGGCCACCTAGTGGTAGGGCGCTAGGATTTTGCAACGTAAAATTTGGTGCATCCTGAAGGATTCATATTCAGAGCCAGAGAGGCCCTGCAGGGGTCATGGGAGCTGGGACCACACTGCAGAGCCCTCTCTCAGCCATGTCTGCATCCACCCCTACTCAAAAGATGCTGGCACAGTGCCCACTGAGTCAGAGATGCCTAATAAATATCTGTGCCGATTGATGCAGATGAGAGAGAGGCTGGAGAGGTGTATAGAATTAAAGGTTATTCTGAGCTGCTAGGGGGTAGGGAGAACCTAGAACTCGGGTTTCACTCTGCCTGTCCTCCTCCAGCCCAGGGGCCCTGCTGCTCCTCCCTGTAGGAAGCCCATCTTGGAGGGATAGGCTTAGGGCCCAATCTTCTTTTCCATCTCTCCCAGAGTCCAGGATGGATTTGTGCCTCTGGGGTGGACATACCTGCCATAGCTCTGGGAGTACTGCCTCTACCCAGGTGATACAGGATGGGACACAAGGGTAGGTATTAAGCAAGACCTTCAGGGTCCTTGGGAGGTTGGCACAGTGTTTCAGCATCCAGGAATCAAAAGAGGGTCTCATAAATTAAAAAAAAAAAAAGAGGGTCTTAGGAGTACCATGCCTCTCCCAACCTGGGACAGATCCAAGTCCAGAGCGGTCCTCATACTTTTCCATGCTCGGTTTACCCCACTTTCAAGGTTACTCCACAACCTCCTGACTCCAGCTTGGGACTTCTCTCCCTTGGATACTTTTCCTCATAGCCCTCACTGGTCCTTCCCAAGATGGGGACAGACCTCTGGCCGCAGAGGGTGGGCTCTCAGTCTCTTGGCTCCCTCTCTTCCCCTGTGGTGGGGCAATTCCACAGCCACGCTCCCCTCCCCCAACTGGTCTCTCCTTTCACAGGCTCTCCCTACATACCTCAGGGTGCACAGGCTGGGCCCCGCAGTCCAGCCCCGCTGTGAAGAGGACCTCAGGTTCCCAGTTGGGGGCATCCTGGACAGTCTGCAGCACGCAGTCCATGGGTGTGTGGCCTGCTGCACTGGGGACTCCAGCGTAGATCCCGTGGCGCAGCAGCAGCTCAGCTAGGGCCTCATAGCCATTGGCACAGAAGTTGTGCTGCGGTGTGTGGCACCTGCGCCTGACCACCCAGACATCAGCCCCAGCTTCCAGGAGCTGGCACGCCACAGCCTGGTGCTTCTAGCCACTGCCCAGGCCCTCAGCCCCCAGGCAAGCAGCGTTCAGGGCTGTCTCACCCCGGCTAGTGCACAGGCTCACATTGGTTCCACGCTCCAAGTAGAGCGCCACGTGCTCCTCCAGGCCTCGTGCTGCCACCACGTGCAGAGTGTCACCTTGCTGTCCCTCACAGCCACGTTCATGGTAGCTCCTGTCTCTAGCAGCATCTTGGCGTATCTGGGGGCAGAGCACAAGGTGCCAAGGCAAATCTGGAGAGACCAAGGCCTGGCCTGGGAACTCCACAGCCTACTATCATCCCTTACTCCCTTTCTTTCCACCCCCTGCACCTGAAGGCGAACCTGGTGTCCACCGTCAGACTCAGAAGGCCCATGACAGACAGAAGAGCTGGAAGGCGCATGGCAGTCACCAGGAGCATCTTCAGTTTTCACATAACAAAGACTGTGAAAGGTCCAGAAAGGTCACTGCAGCTAAGTACACACACACACATCGGAACTAGTACTCACTGCCTCAGACAGTCCCTCCCAATCTCACTGGGACTCCAAGGCCTGGTTCTGAATCATTTGTGAGTAGATAGCACACACTCACAAAATCGAAAGCTCACTACTGTGTACACTATGAAATATAAAAATTAATAAGTATGAATCAACAAGAGAAAGTAGAAGTTTCATGTTTTCTTCCTGCCTCCAAACTTGAAGACCACCCTTCCAAACCAGTCACATCCGCTCCAACAAAAGAAGGGACTTGGCGGGGAGGGGAGATAAACCAAAGAACTTATATGCATATATGCATAACTAAGAGACACAGATAACAGTGCCATGAAGGGGGGGTCAATGGTGGGGGAGGAAAGGAGGGATAGTTATAATACTTTCAAAAGTAAAGATAAATTTTATTATTATTTTATTTTTTGTTTTTTATCCTCACCTGAGGACTTTTTTATTTTTCGTTTTTTGTTCAGATAGAGTGGGAGGGAGAGAGAGAGAGAGAGAGAAACATTGACGTGAAAGGGACACATCAAGTGGTTGCCACCTGCACAACCCAACCAGGGCCGGGGACAAACTGCAACTGAGGTACATGCCCTTAGCAGGAACAGAACCCGAGTCTCTCTGGACCGCAGGCCAACATTCTAACTGCTGAGCCAAACCGGCCAGGGCTATTATTTTTTTTTATCCTCACCCGAGGACACTTTTGCATTTACCTTCAGACAGAGTGGGAGGGAGAGAAGGGGGAAGAGACTGAGAGAAACATCTATGTGAGAGAGAGACATGGAGTGGTCGCCACTCGCACGACCCCAACCAGGGCCAGGGACAAACTGCAACCGAGGTATGTGCCCTTAGTGGGAACCGAACCCAGGACTCTGGTCCACGGGCCGGCACTCTAACTGCTGAGCCAAACTGACCAGGGAAGTAAAGATAACTTTTTATTTTATTTTTTATTTATTTATTTTTTATCCTCACCTGAGGACACTTTCCCATTTTTTGTTCAAATAGAGTGGGAAGGAGAGAGAGAAAAACATTGACGCAAAAGGGAGACATCGAGGGGCTGCCACCCACATGACCCAACCAGGGCCGGGGACAGACTGCAACCGAGGTACGTGCCCTTAGCGGGAACCGAACCCAGGTCTCTCTGGACCGCAGAGCCAAACCGGCCCGGGCACAATTTAGAATGTTAAAGCCAGAATGGCAGCCACTGGAACTCAGGAGTAGATTCATCAACTTCAAAGAAACCCTGATGACCAAGTGTCCTTCCCCCAAATGGCCAGAATTCCAGCTCTCCTCAGTGCACATGTCCAGTAGGCACTTGGCTTAGTGGCCAAGAGCTGAGTAGCAGCCAGTCATCCATAACTACTGAATTTATTTCCTTAATAACTTCTAATCATGAGTTAATTTTTGTTTTCAAATATTAAATTTGTATAACACTGAAAAGCTCACTCAGTAGGATTCCAGTAAGTGAGATTATTCTTACTGCTCTTAAAAGGATGAAATCTGCTAGGAAGTGTACCATGTACCCATAAGAACTAAAGAAAGGGCTGGAAAATTTGGATCACTCTGGGTCCATCACTGATCTAGATCTAAGCAGGGGAGAGGTTCCCAGCGTGTGAGCTATGAGTGTCTCCCAGGAGCCCTTGACTCCTTACCACGGCCAGCCCAATCTGTGGACCTGATTTGTAAAAGTCCAGTATCGCCCTGTAGGGGGTCCAAGAGACTGTTGACCTTAAAAAGGTGGGAAGAGGAGGTGTGTAGGGCCTCGTACTAAGGTTGGGAAACACCAAGCTAGATCTTTTTTGATGCCTACCTCAAAACAGCTAGGAATTTGGCTACAGTGGGTTCACAGGGAATAAGTAACTGTAGTTGGAACAGGGTTTTGCCTTCTGGGCTTAGTTGATTTGATCTAGGTAAGTCACTAAACCTTTTTGAGGCTCAGTTTTCTCATCTGTAGAATGAAACCTGTCATGAGTATATAAGGTGCTTCTCCCCTTCTCCAGGCCATGTGAGCTGCACACACACATACATCCTCCCCACACTATCGCAAACCCTAGGCACCTACTGCAAGGATCCAGAGGCTGTGCAGAGGGGCAAGGGTGTTGTGCCTTCCTCAGACAACACATTGACCTTGGCACTGAAGGTCAGCAGCAGCCGCACAGTCAGACTGGGTGCAAGGCTGCCCGGCCCCCCAACCCAGGCACCCAGCTGAGCTCTCTGCCAGATGAGATGGCTGGCACAGTTGGTATAGCCTTGGGCCACAGCAATAGTGAAGGGCACCGTCTGCTTGGACTTAGGGGTCAGTACCCAGAACCCTGTGGAGAGCAGTGTTTAGAGTGGGGGGTGAGACTGGTAGGCAGGGCAGGCTCATGGTGAATGGCTGATGCTGGCTTTTTTTCTGTACCCATGGCTGAACACAAACTCTGTGCCAGTCTGTACCTGTGGAGAGGGACTCACTTTTAGAACAGTTTGTCAATCCGTAACGAAACATAGTATGTATGTCATAGAAAAAATAATTAATTGCTCTTTAAAACCATAAGGGCAACTAAGGAGGGTGAATCCTGTTAAAGAAACCTCTGGGTGTTTGAGCTGCTGATGGAGTTCTTGCCTCTTTTGGCTCACTTGGGGCTCTGGTGTAGGGGATGGGGAGAGTTATGAACAGGAGGTCCTGGAGCTGATCTTGGAAGTGGCAATGAGCAGAGCTGAAGGAACCATGAGTTTGGTGTTCTAGGACAATCCTGGGGTGGGGAGGGTGGGGGCGGAAGTGGGAGAAGAAGCAGGGAGGAAGAGGAGGGAGGGGAGAATGAGAGGTGGGGTGGGGAAAGGAAGAGTGGGGAGAGTGTGTGATCATGGGACTGGTGTTGCTTCCAAGTTGCAGAAATGGCCAAGGACTTGTTTATTTATTTATTTATTTTCTTTCTTGATTTTAGTGAGAGAAGGGAAAGGGAGAGAGAGAGAAACATCGATGAGTGAGAACATAGATTGGCCACCTTCTGCATGCCCCCCACTGGGGATTTGGCCCACAACTTGGGCATGTGTCCTGACTGGGAATCCAACCAATGACCTCCTGGTACACTGGCCAGGTGCCAAGGACTTGTTTAAAGGATATAGATGCCTAATATCCAACTGTAAATTGTTTGCATTATGGTGAAGCATGTCTGAGTTTCCTAACTCTTGGGTAAAGCATATTTTATTTATTGTTAGAATTGAAATAAGACCAAATGCTATTTGAGGGATGATGGACATGCTGCAGGATGAGACCAGGATGCCCTGGGCAGGGTCACATCCCTAACAGTTGAAGCCATGCTGGAATTGGGAGCCTGTGGTGACCGTGAGAACATATGCTCTCCAAGGATTCTGAACCCCCAAGTCTCTCCAAACCCATGGGTGGGGTTGGAGGCAATCTCTCTCTCTTTTTTTTAATGTTTTACCTTTCTTTTTAAAAATTGATTGTAGAGCCCTGGCCTGTTTGGCTCAGCGGTTAGAGCATCAGCCCACGGACCAGAGAGTCCCGGGTTCAGTTCCCACTAAGGGCATGCACCTCGGTTGCAGTTTGTCCCCGGCCCCGGTTGGTGTCATGTGGGTGGCAACCTGTCGATGTGTCTCTCTCATATCGATGTTTCTCTCTCTCTCTCTCTCTCTCTCTCTCTCTCTCTCCCCTCCCTCCCTCCCTCCTGCTCTATCTGAAGATAAATGCAAAGATGTAAAAAAAAAAAATTGATTGTAGAGAAAGATCAACTTGTTGTTCCACTTATTTATGCATTCATTGGTTTATTCTTTTTTTTTATTCCTCACCTGAGGATATTTTCCTACTTATTATCAGATAGAGTGGGAGGTAGGGAGAGAGAGAGAGAGAGAGAGAAATATCGATGTGATAGAGCCACATTGACTGGTTGCCTCCCACACGACCCGACCAAGACTGGGGACAAACTGAAACCAAGGTACGTGCCCTTGACCAGAATCGAACCTGCAACTCATTGGTCCATGGGCCGACGCTCCTACCACTAAGCCAAACCGGCCAGGGCCATTGGTTTATTCTTGTATGTACCCCGACCAGAGGTTGAATCTACAATCTTGGCATATGGGGATGACGCTCTAACCAACTGAGCTTCCCGACCAGGGTAGAGGCATTCTTTTGTCGATGGAACAGGGCAATCTCAATTGAGGTATTTGTTTTACATGGACAAACCCTCTGGTCAGAATAGATCCTAAGGAAATCAGCTGGCAAGTACACAAAGCTGTTCATCATATTGCTATTTAAAGTCATCTTAAAAAAAGAAACCCAGTCTATCCAATCTTTTGGGGGGCTAGTTATATAAATCATGGCATACCCATACAGAATTTATACCCCTATATAAAATATTATGTTGACGTATAGTTATTGGCATGTTACATGAAAAAAATCAGATTGTAAAATAGCAGATGGATTATAATTTCATTCTGTTGAACGAAAAATATTCATGTGTGGATATATATTCATAGAAGAAATTGCATTAGAATATAATTGTGTTCCTATGTAATTAATGTTAATATAACTAATTCGGATAAAAACATACAAACCACTAACCATGCCTCATCTCTGTTTAGGAGGGAGCTAGAATGGGCAGTGGGAAAGGATAGTGTAGTGTATGGTCTGGAGGGAGAGGATGGGGCTGAGATGCGCCCCCGCTGCCCCACCCCACCTCTTCCCTCTCCCTCCTCTTCTGCCCACACCTGCTGCTCCCTACCCTGTTCAGGCGACCAGGCCAGCTGGTTGCTCACAGTCTCCACAATCATGTTGGCAATGTCTTCATCTTGGAACAGGGCTTGGACCTGTTGCAGGTCACTGGAGATCAGGGCACTGTAGACTGCTGGGTCTCGGCAGGAGTGGCGAGGCCTAGTGAGTTGGGCCCAGGAACTTGGGGGGCACCTTTGGTTCCACACCACTGAGCTGCTGCCCTGCACTGGTCCTCCCACTCCAGCCACTCTCACTGCTGGCGGAGAGGGTGCAGCGTGGAGGAGGTAAAGGGGAAGGTCTCTTCTGCACTGGAAGGGGCCCAGGGGTCTGGCCAGTAGCAGCTGGGCAGAGCCCAGTGACTACCACCCTTGTTTTGAGGAGCCACCCTGCCCCCTCACCGGTGACCCAGAGCAGCAGCTGAGGCTATAAATAGGCCCTTTGCTCTCTGGTAAACACAGTTTGCCCAGAGTCTTGATCCCTGTGCAGAGAAGGTGTTGGGCCAACCCCTCACCCAGCCAGGGGGTAGGGCCAGCCCCCGCCCCTGCTGATAACCCTCAGATGAGGCTATCCCTGCACCCCAGGGTCCATATCCTCCCCCTTCTCAGGAGTGAGCACCTGGGTTGGCAAGGTCTGAGGTAAGTGAAGCAGTCAATCAGGGAGATGAACAGGGCAGGGAGGAGGAGCCCCCCAGCCTCTCTGATGTCACTTTTATATCCATCTTTACTCAGTGACCATACTTCCTGGCTCACCTAGGTAAACAGTAAACTTGGTTTTGACAAAGTATATAATCAGGCCAATTATCACACTCGAACACCTCTGAGATGGGTGGTCTTCACGTCTGTTTACCAGTGAGGAACTAAGGCTCAACAAAGTAAAGCTGCTTGCCAATGGCTGCAGTTTGTGAGGGGCAGAGCCAGGACTAGGACCCCAGCTGGCCTGACTCCACAGGTGTCGCACTTTGGCTCCAGCTGCTATGGCCATGTGAGGGTGAAGACAGTTGTGAGCTTCTCCCCACCCTCCAAGCAGGACAACATGGTCTCTAGAAGCTACCTTCAGTGAGGCCCCTCACCCCAAACCCACCCCAGGTCCTAAAAGGGCTCACATGCTTGCATGAGGGCCAACGGCTTGACCTTGCAACTCTGGGGACTCCGGACCAAGATCTTTAAGCCATGAACCTCTTCACTCAGGACAAAGCAGCTCTGCTTCCAGGAGCCTCTAGGGGGAGGAATGAGGCCATGAAATAACAGTTGGTGTGGTTGCCAAGCCAGGCAAGGGGAAGTGGGAGGGATGCCAGTCCCTTCCCCAGCTCTCCTAACCCAGGAGCTCACTCAGTGTGCAGACCAGCTGGCCTAGCCCCAGCTTGGCTGCAGTGGCTGGTCTGTCTCCCTCAGCATTGTAGCCTCCTCCTGGCTAGTCTGCCCCTGCACCTCCTCCCCTCCCTGGTTCTGCAGCAGCCCTTGCCCAGTTATCTCTGACTTCTTCCTCTCCCTGGTCCCCTCACACAAAAGCCAGCTCCCATTCTCACATTTTCGGTCACCATCTCAATGTCTTTAACCTGGACCAGCCCAGCCTCCTACCAGGTTTTCCTTCCGCTGGCCACAACCCCTCTGCTTCACTGCCTAAATGGAATGATCTAACTAAAATGATTGATTCCTAGCTTGAAAACTTCTGACTTCTGACACCTCCCCTTTCCCACTAAGCCCCAATTCCTTAGTTTGGCCTCATGTCACATAGCTCCTCACCCTTCCCTGCCATTCCCTCTGCTTGGAATTCCCTTCTGACTCATTCCTCAAAGGTCACCTGCTCTGGAGATATCCTTGCAGCAGCTCCATGTTCCCCACTCTTACGGTTCCAGCCACTCCCAATCCATGCACTCTGTAAAGCACCTGTCCCAGTGAACGGTGGACGAGTCAGCTGTCCTGGATGTGGGCTCCAGAGGAGGCTCCGCATTTACTGTTAGGTTTCTGGTCCCAGCAGCGCCTGGCACATAGTAGGTCTTGACGTGATGTTTAGGGGCACTTGGCACATAGCAGGCTGGACTCTTATATGTAGTGCATTGACTGAGGGCCCCTGTTCTCTGCCAGAGCAAACACTCATCCGCCTGCCCAAGTGGGTGGCAGCAACCTGGGCTGTTTCCAGTATTGCCTTTACTCTGCTGTTCACCCACTCTGGCCCCAGCTTCTTGGTGGTATTCCAGGGTGCGGGATCCCAGAGGAGGAATGAGATCATGCACAGCAAGGGCTTGGCGATCCTCAGAGAAAGGCGCCTCTATAAATGACGCAGTGATTAACCCTGTTGGAACCCATTCAGTGTTTTAATTGCCCCGCCAACGGCCTGGGCTGAGCACCCACAGCTGGGTTCCCAGGGTTGGGAGTTGGCAAGGCCAGGTAGGGCCACGAAGGGCCAAGATGGGTGGGCGTCCCCTCCCTCCTGAGGCACATGATAGTCATGGCGTGTGGGCTCATGATTGGGCTGACCTCCCCAGACTCTCTGTAGACCTTCTTGTCACACAGGCCTGAAGGTGCTCTGACTACTGCTCAGTCCCCAGAGAGACCATGTGTTCTGTCTTCTGTCCCTAGCATTAACTTCCTGAGGGCAGAAAAACTGTCCTTAGCACTAACTTCTCGAGACCTTTACTTCAACCCACACAGGAGCCCACAGGGAGCCCAGTTCTACTGGCAGGAGCAGTGCCAGGCAACTGGATACGCAGCCTGCCCTCTGGGAGCTCAGAACCCTTGAGGAGTTGAAGCACACCACGAGAAACCAGGTCATCAGTCAGGACTGTGAGCAGGAGAGATCAGGGCTCAAGGGTGTTAAATGGGGCCCTGGCTGGTTTGGCTCAGTGGTTAGGGCGTCGGCCTGTGGTCCAGAGGCACCCGGGTTTGGTTCCCCCTAAGGGCACGTACCTCGGCTGCAGTTTGTCCCCGGCCCTGGTTGGTCGTGCGGGTGGCAGCCACTCGATGTGTCCCTTTCACATCGATGTGTCTCTCTCTCTCTCTTCCTCTCTCTCCCTCCCACTCTATCTGATCAAAAAACGAAAAAATGTCCTCTGGTGGGGATAAAAAAAAAGGGTGTTAAATGGGGAAGGGCACTGCAAGCCAGGGACATGGGGCGGTTTAGGTGCAGGAAGACCACATGGCCCAGATCCAAACTGCAAATACAGAGCTGGGGAGTTAGCAGCAGGTAGAAGACAAAGAAGTGCAGGTAGGAGGATCACATGGGAGTGCAAAGGGGCAAGGGTGCTGGTGAATTAACCCTTTCTTGCTCCTGGGCTTAGAACATAAAAGCCTTCTAGAATAGGACCCTACTGCAATCAGCAGCTAGCTGAGCATGGAGTTCTTTATTTTCACTTATCTTCAGATAGAGCAGGAGAGAGGGACAAAAAGAGAGAGAAACATCGACATGTCTGAGAGAGACACATCAAGTGGTTGCCACCCACATGACCCCAACCGGGGCCGGGCACAAACTGCAACCGAGGTACATGCCCCTGGAGGGAATAGAAACTGGGACTCTGGTCCGCGGGCCAATGCTTTAACCGCTGAGCCAAACCGGCCAGGGCTGAGCATGGAGTTCTTAAAGCACTTGTTCACTTCAGCCTCTCTTTGGGAAAAAAGAGATTAACACCTTCCCATAGAGCAGTACCAAACCCATGAGAGGACCCTGACTCACAGCTGCTTAGTGAAGACAGTGGGACGCAGGGGAAGCTGGTGGTCAAAGTGGGGTCTTTAACCCACACCCCCTCATCCACGAATTGGGAGAATCTTCTTTTCTTTCCTTCATTCCAGAAAAGGAAAACAAAGTGCCTATACCCCACCCTTATCCCTTGTGGAACTCCGGTCTAAAATGTGGTATAGAGAAGCTATAGTGACCAAAAGTTGCTTGACAACAAAATAAATAAAGTAGTATTAGATTATAACTCAAAACTTAGAATACCCGAGTCCATACTGATATAAATGAATAAATAAAAAATGAGGGATAGGTCATTTCAAAGAGTGTTCAGGGGACCCAAACTAGGAGCTCTTAATGCAGTGACCTAAGATTTAAGTTCTCCATAGGATGTAACAGATACTCAATAGTGCTGTGTTTTCCTGAGGAAATAGAAGATCTAGCTATTCAGATCAATGATTAGTGATGTGGAAAAGTAAATAAATGTTTTCCAATTAAAAAATATATATATATGAGAGAAAATAGGCCAATCTCCCATGTAGAAGAATTCCAAATAATCTGTGAATATGCTTCCCTTAAGGAGGTGGACTATAACTCCTCACGCCTGTGTGGACTGCACACAGTGACTTCCTTCCAAAGAGGACAGTATGGAAAGGGAGAAGAAAGAAGGGTGACTCTACAGTGTACAAACCTGACAAACCCTACCGCAGCCAGGTGATCAAGGCCAACATCAACCTTTGACATGATGTGATGAGAATAGCACCTTACCTCTGTGATCTTCCTCCAAAAACCTATAAACCCAGTCTAATCATGAAAAACAAAACAAAACCATCAGGCAAATTCCAGTAGAGGGGCACCCTATAACATGCCTGAGCTGCACTCTGCAAAGCTGTCAAGACCACAAAACAAGTCTAGAAGAAGAGCCTAGAGAGACATGATGACTAAATGTAATGTGGGATCCTGGAACAGAGACAGGACAGCAGGAGAAAACAGTAAACCTGAATCAAGTATGGATTTCAGATAATATATCAATACTGGTTCTTTAATTGTGACAAAGCTATCATACTAATGTATGATGATAATAATAGGGGAAATTGTGTGTGGGGTATTTTGAGAACTCTCTGTAATATCTTTGCAATAATTCTGTAAATCAAAAACTGTCTAAAAGAAAGTTTATAAAAGAGAGAGAAAATGAGGAGCCTGGCTCGGCCTGGTTAAAGCACCACTGGCAGAGGAAACAGGACAAGGAGCAGCAAGGATGGAAAGGAGAGGGAGGCAGGTGAAGCAGGCAGCTGCTTTATTTCAGAACAAGATATCATTGCCACAGCCCTGCCCCCGCACCTGTGAACCTTCAACACAGGTGAGCTGGGCAGCTATAGGCATCTAGACAAAGCAGAGGGAAGTCTGAGTGTGTTCCTTCCCTGTCCACAGGGACAGATTGCCACTGTAGTGTGGCTCCCTCAACTCCTCAGTTGTACAGAGACTAGGGAGTAAAGGGACCAGGCCCAAGATCCTCTAAAGAAGATAAGGTGGGAAGGCAACATGCCTTCCCTATTTACGGGAGAAGAGTGATGCGCCCCAGAGCCTGGAGGATAGCAGGGCAGGAGAACCAGTCTTGGGCCAAGTTCTTGTATGCCAACGAAGACCCAAAGTGACGGCAGTGCAGAGTCCAAGGGTCGAGAGGGTTTTCAGGGAAAGCATCCAGGGTGGGAGCAACCACAGAAACCCTGAGCTTTGCCTGTTCTCCAATCATGCTGGTCTTCCTCCCCCTTGGCATGATCAGATACAACCAGAGCGTTGCCTGGTGTTCAGAGGTTGCCTGCTCATGGTGGGTGCCCTGACTTGGGGCAGTCCCAACCGCTGGTCCCACAGAAGAAGTCTTCAGAGAGCTCACTCAGGAGTCCATCCAGGTCATCTGCAGGGGGCATGGAAAGGATGGGCAGACAATGACAACATTAGGGCTCCATGTGACTCCAGTCCAAGGTTCCTGCCCTTTAGGAGAGCCTGAACCTGGCAGGTTAGGAGGTGGCTCTCCCTGGGCAGTGGTGTCTGGGCCAATAGACTTGAGGCTGGCCTGACCTCCATCTTCCCTCTGCTCCCCACATACCCACACATGACAAAAGGCAGGGGCCCATTCTTCTGAAAAAAAAAAAGGCTCCTCTTTGGCCTCAGTGGTTCCTCTCCTTTTTTTTAAAATTTTTAATTTATTGCCCTGGCCAGTTTCTCAGTGGTTAGAGCGTCAGCCTGAGGACTGGAGAGACCCGGTTTGGTTCCCGCTAAGGGCACGTACCTCAGTTGCAGTATGTCCCCGGCCCCAGTTGGGGTCATGTGGGTGGCAACCACTCAATGTTGTCTCTCTCGCATCGATGTTTCTCTCTCTCTGTCCCTCTCTCTCTCCCTCCCGCTCTATATGAAGATAGATGCAAAAATGTCCTTGGGTGAGGATTAAAAAAAAAAACGACTTTGATTTTAGAGAGAGAGAGAAACATTGATTTGTTGTTCCACTTATTTATGTATTCATTGGTTGATTCTTATATGTGCTCTGATGAGGGATCAAATCCACAATCTTGGCATATCAGGAAGAGGCTCTAACCAACTGAGCTACATGGCCAGGGCCAGTTCCTCTCTTTCCATCCAGAGGAACAGTGTCTGAAAAGATAGGCTTCAGAGGTCCCCTGGTGCAATGCTCTCATTGGACAGAGGGAAAAACAAGGCTGGGGAAAGCCATTAGATACGTTCAGAGTCACACAGTTCATTAATCTGGCTTCTCTTCTGAAGAGTGGGAGACAACAGTATCCCGTCCCCTAAAGTGCTTTTGTGGGCCTAGGGAATAAAAGTAACTGTTCCTAAGGTGGGGTGCTTATGGCTGAGAATTTGGAAACCAAATTGACCTCAATAATCCCTGTTGCTCCTTTTACTGTTAACAATAGCAGCACAGGGCCACATGTTACACTCCTCACTTAGTTTATGTCTCACAGTACCCCTTCATAGGGCATCTCGTGGTAGCTCCTGTTATAATCCCCTTTGCCTGAAAGATCAGAGTTTATTTATTTATTTACTTATGAATATGATTTTTGTTTTTAGAGAGAGAGGAAAGGAGAGATAGAAACATCGATGTGAGACAGAAACATCAATTGGCTGCTTCTTGCACACCTCCTATTGGGGATCAAGCCAGCAACCCAGGCATGTGCCCTGACCAGGAATCATACTGGGACCTCTCAGTCCACAGGACACTCAATCCACTGAGCCATACCAGCCAGGCTAAAAGAACAATGTTTAAAGAGGTCAAACCAGCCTGGCCAGTGTGGTTCAGTAGTTAGGCATCAACCCATGCACCAAGAGGTCGCCAGTTCAATTCCCGGTCAGGGCACATGCCCAGATTGTGGGCCAAATCCCCAGTGGGGGATATGCAGAAGGTGGCTAATCGATGTTCTCTCTCATCAATGTTTCTGTTTTTCTCCCTCTCCCTTCCTCTCTAAAATCAATAAATAAATTAAATAAAAATAAAGAGGTCAAACTTGCTCAGGGTGGCATACTTAGACTCCATCTGATGCCACAGCCATAGCTTCCACCAGAAAAAAAATTTTTTTATCCTCACCCGAGGACATTTTTCCATTTTTTTATTCAGATAGAGTGAGAGGGAGAGAGAGGAAGAAAGAGAGAGAAACATCGACGTGAAAGGGACACATCGAGTGGCTGCCACCAGCACAACCAACCAGGGCTGGGGACATACCGCAACCAAGCTACATGCCCTTAGTGGGAACCAAATCCGGGTATCTCTGGACTGCAGGCCGACGCTCTAACCACTGAGAAAAACTGGCCAGGCCCACCAGAAAATTCTTAATGGATGGGATCAGGCAGCCTTAGGAATAAGTCAGACAGGAAACTACACCTGCAGAGCCTAGCTCCCAGTGTGGTACAGAGCACGCAATAAACATTTTTGCTCGAAGATAGAAGTCAGATTGGGGCACTCAAAAATTTTTTTTTTGTCCTCACCTGAGGACAGTTTTGCATTTATCTTCAGATAGAGCAGGAGGGAGAGAGGGGGGAAGAGAGAGAAACATCGATGTGAGAGAGACACATCGAGTGGTTGCCACCCACTTGACCTCAACCGGGGCTGAGGACAAACTGCAACCGAAGTATGTGCCCTTAGCGGGAACCGAATCTGGGACTCTCTGGTCCGCAGGCTAATGCTCTAACCGCTGAACCAAACTGGCCATGGCGGGGTACTCAAAATTTAATTAAGGTGACCAACACTGTTATCAGGGAAGTAGGACTGGAATTTGATTACAACAAAAAAGTTGCCCCTCACTAGCTACATTATGACTATTTGAAGAAACACTATGTTAAATGAAGGGAAATGAGCAGTCAGGAAACTGAGAATCAGAGTAAGAATTAGTATTTGTGTCTCCAAGCCTGCCAGCCACCACCAGCAGCTGTGTGTTTGGCAGATCTGCCCTTATAGTGGAGATGTGATACCAGCTGCAGTATTCTACAGGCAACTCTCCTCACTCTTACTCTATGACCCCCAGCAACCTTCTGGTGATGGTTTGGCTTGTCATCAAGTTTACCTACAAGGAGACTGCAAGTTTCTATAGAAGATTCCAATATAAGGGATACTTTTTCATAGGATACAAATAAATGGGCCTTGTGGTTTATCCATTGGTCTACTGTGAATTTGGTTAATGTGGTATCTACCCATAATCCCATGAACTTTGGGGCCGGACAGCGTTAAGTTTATGGAATAAAAAAGCTAAGGGCCAGTCCTGTCTGGTTTTGCTCAGTGGTTAGAGTGTCAGCCTGCAGACGGGAGAGTCCGGGTTTGGTTCCTGCTAAGGGCACGTACCTTGGTTGCAGTTTGTCCCCGGCCCCAGTTGGGGCCGTGGGGTGGCGACCACTAGGTGTGTCTCTCTCACATTGATGTTTCTCTCTTTCTCCTTCTCTCCCTCCTGCTCTATCTGAAGATAAATGCAAAAATGTCCTCGGGCGAGGATAAAAAAAATAATAAAAAAAGAAAAAGCTAAGGACCAGACCTGGAATGTTCTGGCTTCACTTGGGTGATGCTGCCTCCTGAGGAACAAGCTGGTCTTCCCCTAAGACATCTGCCTTTGGATCTCTAAGATCTGTATCCTGGTCCCACCCTATCCACATGGATGTTTAACTCCTCAGCAATGCCTGGAGGACCTCTGCGCTTAGGAAATCTGTCTCTGTGGTCTGGCCATCAGCCCACAGAAGATTCAAGGGGTGCCCAGCCTGTGTGGCTCATTGGTTGAGCGTCGACCCATGCACCAAGAGGTCACTGGTTCGATTCCCAGTCAGGGCACATGCCCAGGTTGTGGGCCTGATCCCCAGTGGAGGGCATGCAGGAGGCAGCCAATCGATGTTTTCTCTCATCGATGTTTCTCTCTCTCTCCCTTTCCTTTCCTCTCTCTCTAAAATCAATAAAGAAAAAATAATAATAATAAGACTCAAGGGGTGGCACAAAGATGGTGTCAGTCCCCCTCCTCCTTGTGGAACACACATACCCCGGAAATGGCAGAGACCAGTGGATCACACTCTATTTGCTTTATGTGGCCCCTATCACACTGTTAGTTAGTTTGTGGCCTGCAGGTTTGCCAGAGAAGATACCACATCTGATTTCTGTAAGATTCCATAAGATCCAAAAATTCATGGGAGGAATAAGATGCAGACAGAAGAATTTGGCTGAGCAATTCAAGAGGAAATAGAAGAGCCCTGGCCGGTTTGGCTCAGCGGTTAGAGCGTTCGCCTGCGGTCCGGAGAGACCCGGGTTCGGTTCCCGCTAAGGGCATGTACCTCGGTTGCAGTTTGTCCCCGGCCCTGGTTGGTCGTGCGGGTGGCAGCCACTCGATGTGTCCCTTTCACATCGATGTTTCCCTTTCTCTCTCTTCCTCTCCCTCCCACTCTGTCTGTACAAAAAATGGAAAAATGTCCTCGGATGAGGATAAAAAAAAAAAAAAAGAGGAAATAGAAGAACTTCTTTTGCTCCTGGGTGGGCTGATTGCTTTACCTGCTTCTGGGAGTTCTCCTGGGGATGCCCCTGCCTCTGGGTTCTGTGCTGTTCTCAGGTCTTTCCCAGGCTCTACAGTCTCATGCTGGAGGCTGCCATGGAAGCTACCTGGATCCTGGAAACAGAGGATTTGGTTACCAATGCCTGTGCCTCTGAAATCCCTCTGAACAGTACTATCTCCACCCCGACAACCTCAAAGGAATAAGTGGGGGCTCAGGAAAGACAGGATGAAGGCGTGTGGCAGGGGTCAGTCACCCAGGATCATGCTGCAGGGAGGGAGCTGAAATATTAGACATCTAAAACAATAGATAATTAAAAACACAAAACAGAAACAAAAAAAAAGTTTTGGCTGATTTTCTTTCCTAGTTCTATTTTTATCTGATATTTTAGGGAATCTATATAACTGGAACAGAGACTAAAGGGGTCACTCAGAAATATGTTGAGGAGTTAGCCTGGGATTAAGAATGAGCTGCTAACAATCCCAAACTAGCTAATATATGTACAGGTAATTTAAATTAGTAACTAAACCATTAACCATGGTTAGCTCTGGGGAATGTTGTGAAGAGGTTAAGTTGCATGGTTTGCTCTATTCTGTACTATTTCAATGAGTATGGATGACATAAAATATTTTTAAAAAATAAAGATTTATTTGAAGTGAGATGTTTTATTATTTTTATTTTTTTTATTGATTTTAGAGAAGAGAGAAGGAAAGAGAGAAACAATGATGTAAGAAAGAAACAATGACTGGTACCCAAGACCAAACTCAACCTGGGCATGTGCCCTGACCAGGAAACAAACCAGCAACCTTTTTTTAAAAAATATGTTTTATTTTGTTTTTGTGTTTTTAGAGACAGAGAGAGAGAGAAACATTGATCAGCTGCCTCATGCATGCATGTGCCCTGACCAGGAATCGAACCAGAAACCTCTTGGTCCAAGGATTGATGGTCAACCATTGAGCTACACCGGCTGGGCCGAACCAGCTACCTTTTGATGCATGGGAGACACTCAACCAAGTGAGCCACATTGGCCAGGGCTGCGAGATGTTTTTGAGAGAATGTGGAAGGTTAAGTAGAAAGATGAGGGAAATGGGCCCAGCTGGTGTGGCTCACTGGTTGAGCATTGACGAGTGCACCAAGAGGTCGCCAGTTTGATTCCCAGTCAGGATACATGCCCAAGTTGTGGGCCAAATCTCCAGTGGGGGGCATGCAGGAGGCAGCCAATTGATGTTCTCTTTCATTGATGTTTCTATCTTTCTCTTCCTCTCCTTCCTCTCTCTCTAAAAATTAATAAAGAAAAAAAAATTTTTTGCCCTGGCTGATTTAGCTCGGCGGTTAGAGTGTCAGCCTGCGGTCCAGAGAGACCCGGGTTCGGTTCCCGCTAAGGGCATGTACCTCGGTTGCAGTTTGTCCCCGGCCCTGGTTGGGTCGTGCGGGTGGCAACCACTCGATGTGTCCCTTTCACATCGATGTTTCTTTCTCTCTCTCTCCCTCCCCACTCTATCTGAATAAAAAATAAAAAAATGTCCTCGGGTGAGGATAAAATTAAAAAAAAAAAAAGAAAAAAAAATTTTTAAAGAAAAGAAAAATGAGGGAAATGGAAGTAGCAGATTAGAGCTAAAGATATTACTTGACTAGCCCTGGCCGGTTTGGCTCAGCGGTTAGAGAGTTGACCTGTGGTCTGGAGAGACCCCATTCGGTTCCCACTAAGGGCACATACCTCAGTTGCAATTTGTCCCCCGCCCTGGTAGGGTCATGTGGGTGGCAACCACTCAATGTGTCCCTTTCATGTCGATGTTTCTCTCTCTCTCCCTCCCTCCCACTCTATCTGAACAAAATATCAAAAAATGTCCTTGGGTGAGGATAAAAAAAAAAAAAAGATATTACTTGATTAGAAGTCATTGATTCTAACCCACTCATTTTATAGATGAAGCAACAGCAGGGGAGAGGACAGGACTTGCCAAGGTCACATTACAAATTACTAGCAGAGCGGGGACAGGACCCAGGTCTCCTGAGCCCAAGGCCAGGCCATGATACCAGCCCAGGATCCTGGGAAGGGTGGGGTAGCCACAGAGGAGACGCCATGTGCCAAGTCAAGGCCAAGCTCTGTACTCTCTCCCTGGAGGTGACCTGCCTGGAAGCCCAGTTTCCCTCAGTTCCCAAAGGGAGTGTCCCCACCTGAGTTCTGTGTAGGTACCCCCTCACTTAGCAGAGGGAACACGCAGAGCAAGTGCTGGCTCACCTGACAAGCCATTTGTAGATAACTGTTCTCTGCACTGCCATCTGTAGTACATCTGACCCTCAGTCACTTACCGAGGGCCACTACCCTTGATGAACTCTCAATTTGGTTAGTTCTCAAGTGACTCCTATCCTCTCCAATGTTCAAGTCCTGCCATTAGACTCTCAGGGGTCACCAAGAAGCCAATTGTTCCACTAGGTCCTATTACTGTGCCATCTGGCAGGCAGCTGACCAGGGACAAGAAGAGATGGCCCTGTCCCTGAAGGCATCTCTTAACCTCAGGATAGAGGAGGAGAAGAAATCAGAAGACCAAGGCAGAAAGTGGCTTTATCTGACCTTATTCCATCCCATTCCTCTTACCTTGGGGAAGGGCTGACATGACTTGAGGAAGTTTCCATCCCCAGAATCTGGACTGTAAATATGGACCAGGTTGTTGGGTGTCACATTGAGGTAGTGGTTTCGGAGTGAAGGAGAAAACACTCCAATCTGGAGTCAAGGAAGAGGAAGGTCAGTGCCCTGATGAAGCACTAGGTGCTGCCAGATGGCCACCTAGTCCACCTGCTTCTCCCTTGGTGGCCTCTGCACCAGGGTCACACAAATCGCTCCTGCCCCAGCCCTGGTGTCAGAGTAGAACCACTTATTACACCCTTCTCTGCACAGCACAAACCCCCATCCCAGCAACCCCAAAGAATAGGATCAGGCCTTTACCCAACTCCATTAAGCCAGGGTCCAAGCATCAGCCCAGCGACTCTCTGCCTGGGTACTGGGAGGAAAGAGAGCCATACAAAGAGCTCAGGGGCCTCCCTCCAAGGCAGGAGGGGTGGAGAGCAGCTCCCCATACCTGCTTTAGCAGCAGCACTGAGCCAGGCTTCAGCTCATTCTGGCGTGTCTCAAGCAGCAACCTATGCACCGTGCCCTGCATCTCTCCTGCAAATACCACATGGTCCATCAGTCTCAGGGTCAAGGGCAGTACAGAGACTGGTCTGGGCTCTAGCTGGAAAGTGGGATGCTCACTATTTCAATTTTCCCAACTACAAATGGAGAGGATGACTCTTCCTCACCTCCTGACCTCAACGAAGGCGACTTATCACTCCAAGGACCTAACTCCTCACCTGTGGGGTCCTTGAAAACCACACTGGCATCCATCATGCTCCGAGTCAGGGACTTGATCATCACTGCCATGTTGGGGACCTTGTTCCTGGGAAGCTGCTTCAGGGCCGCCTGGTTACAAGGAGAGGAATTTGCTGAGCCAGCCATGTCCCAGCTGTAAGGTTCCCAAGTGTACCAGGGCAAACTAGGGGGTGGTGGGGGCCAGAATACAGGTGTTGTGATGACATTCCTTAGTGGAGAGTAAAGAGGCAGTTTAAAGGGTTCATTTCATTTCCCTCTGGCAGACCTTTATTTCTCTCCCCCTGCCTTCTTTTTTTGTGTCTGTGTATTTAAATTTTTAAACAATATGTTTTTATTGATTTTTAGATAGAGAGGAAGAGAGAGGGAGAGAGAAACATCAATTGTCTGCCTCCTGCACATCCGCTACTAGGGATCAAGCCTGTAACCTAGGCGTGTGTGCCCTGACCGGGAATCGAACCAGTGACCTCTTGGTGTATGGGACACACTAAATCCACTGAGCCACACCAGCTAGGAAATGTGTCTATGTATTTATATAGAGCTCTATCATGGCAGGTCATGGACAAGGATATGTTTGCACATGTACTAACGTGTCTGCACATGACCCCTGACCTCTGGGGAACTCTAAGGGTAGCAATAGCCTTACCCCACCCCATCCAGGGCCTGGATGTGCAGAGACATGCTCATAATACACTCTCTCCTTCTGCCTATGCCCAATACTGTGGATGGTAGTGGAAAGGTAGGTGAGTGGACGATACAACCAAACGGACTTCATGCTACCATTAAAAAAAAAGGCATTGGGGTAAGAGGAAGCACCTCTTTCCTAAGGTAGAGTAGGACAGAAAGTTGGTGAAAAGGACAAAAACGTTCTTCCTTTCAGGTCTCAGCACTCAGGACTCTTACCTTCCGCAGCACCATGACGATACTGTAGGTACAGAGGAAGCAATTGGGATCTCTCTCATCCAGGCCCAGAGCAGATTTCATGGTCAGCCAGGGCCCTCGCCCAAAATCTTCCTCCACCGATGTCTGGGAACTAGTAACAATCTGGCACTACAGAGCAGAGGGGGAACCTGCATGAATGGGTCCACCTTGCTACAGACCTCAGTTGGGATAGGATGGAGGTGGAAGAGAAAGGGTGAGTTCCCAGTAGCATGGTGGCCAGTGTCTTCTTTCAATTATATCCAAGGTCAGAAAATGGTATATGAAATCTTGTTGCATATCACATATCACACTTAGCAACAACAGTAAAGGTACTCTTTCTTTTATTTTAAATCAGGTCCTGACTTCAATTACATTGAAGCAAAAGGCTATCCATGTTTGTCTCTTGTATTAGACTTGAAAAATCTCAGGGCTAGGGAACCCCCACATACATTTATAGGCTTGTATACTGCCTCAGCTATTTTGAAACCAATTGTACTTTTTTTCTTCTTTGAAACCAGTCATATTTTATTTGGGATGCCTCTGGCTACAACTATTAATCTTCTTATATCAAAAAATTATTTGATGAGTATTGATTGCTTTGGATCTGAAATGGACTGATGGATCTATAGCAAAGAAGAAAACTGCTATAGAGAATTAGAAGCAAAAGTGGGTCTGAGGGCAAAGCAGGTCAACCAGAATGCCAGGAAGGAGGGAGGCGGAGTCTCACCCACTGAAAAGGAACCTACTGGAGGCAAGATGAAGGCAGATGCTTCTCAGCTTAATTCTCAGAAACCAGAGAAGTGTTCCTGAGATACAATTTCCTAATACTTATTACATGCTTCTCCCAAGAAAAGACAGTTAGCTGGGCCTTTCTTTCTTAGATGGGAAAGAAGACTGGCTCACGGCATCGGTTATCACCCAGCTGGCATCAGGGTAGGCTTCACTTCATGCCAGTAAAATTGCCACTTCCCCAAACTGCCTTCCCCAAACGCCTTTTGGTATGAGACCCCAGGGAACAGGCCTAACAGCATCAATGCTGATTCTCAACTCCTGAAACATGCAGGAATATCCCTCATTATTAAATGATGCTCAGGAAGTTACCATTTGCACAGAATTAGTTACCTCTGTCCGGAATTTAGCCAGAGCACCATGAGTTGGAGTCTGGGGCATGGAAACCATGATCTCCTCCAGATTTTTCCCACTATGCTACAAGGAGAGAAGAAAACGAGAGCAAGCTCAGCAGCTGTTATTTACAAGTGCAGCTTCTTGTCTGGGTTACATAATGAGTTCAGGAAACTATCAGGGACAATTAACACATATTACATCTCTCCTAACAAAGTCTCAGGAGCCTCATTGGCAGCTCAAAAAAGATTCTTTGGGAATAGTTTTGGGAATGTGAGGAAGTTGGAGCTGGCCTAGGGCTTCCTAAAGCGGGCAATGACCCGAATAGAAAGGCCTGTGATATGCAAAAGGGACAGCTCTCCCCAAGTCCTTTCTCAGGGACCTAACCCTTCCCTACAGATGTCCAGCCTAGGAAGAATGTAGACAGCCTGCTTGGATTTCTCTTAAAGTGCTAGGGAAGAGCAACTAACAGGTAGAAACTGTTCCAAACACCTTTAAAATGCTAGAAAAAGCCCTGGCCAGTTTGACTCAGCAGTTAGAGCGTTGGCCTGTGGTCCAGAGAGACCTGGGTTTGGTTCCCGCTAAGGGCATGTACCTCGGTTGCAGTTTGTCCCCGGCCCTGGTTGGGTCGTGCGGCTGGCAACCACTCGATGTGTCCCTTTCACGTCGATGTTTCTCTCTCTCTCTCTTCCTCTCTCTACCTCCCACTCTATCTGAACAAAAAAACGAAAAAAATGTCCTCGGGTGAGGATTAAAAAATAAATAAATAAAATGCTAGAAAAGGCCCTGGCCAGTTTGGCTCAGCAGTTAGATCGTTGGCCTGCGGTCCAGAGACCTTGATTTGGTTCCCGCTAAGGGCATGTACCTCGGTTGCAGTTTGTCCCCCGCCTGGGTTGGGGTCGTGTGGGTGGCAACCACTCGATGTGTCTCTCTCACGTCAATGTTTCTCTCTCTCTCTTCCTTCCTCTCTCCCTCCTGTTGTATTTGAAAATAAATGCAAAGATGTCCTCAGGCGAGGACAAAAATACAATAAAATAAAAAAAAATAAAATGCTAGAAAAGGGGTGCACCTACCATGACCAGACCAGATCCTCAGAGTCCAATGATCTAGGATCTGATTCAAGACTAGTTTGATGGATGCTGCCGCCAGCCCCCACCCCCTGCTGAAAACCGAACTCTCAGCACAGCCCCAGCTTCCCCACGTGGACCCCATATACCAGTCACAATGAACTTTCTGTGGCTCTCCAAGAGCATCCTGCTCTTATGCCTCTGTACCTTTGCAAATGCTCTTCCCTGTCTTCCCACTGAAATGTCCCCCAGAGCCTAGCTTTCTAACACATGCACCTGTTAACCTCCTATTTCCCCATCGAAAGCCCACTGAGCAAACCCAGTGTCTCTCAGCATCCTGGGAAAGACCTCTACTCACACTGTGCATTTTATGTATAGTCGTTTGTTTGCATCTGCTTCTTCCCCTAGAAGAAGCTCCTTAGGACAGGAACTATTTCTTTCTTTCTTTCTTTTTTTTTTTTTTTTGGTATGTGCCCCTAGCAGCAACCGAACGTGGAACTCTCTGGTCTGCAGGCTGATGCTCCAACTGCTGAGCCAAACCGGCCAGGGCATAACTATTTATATTTTATTTTATTTTAATTTTTTTAATCCTCACCTGAGGATATTTTTCCATCTATCTTCGGCTAGAGTCGGAGAGAGGAAGCGGGAGAGAAACATTAACATGAAAGAGACACATCGACTGGTTGCCTCCCGCATGACCCCAACCAGGGCTGGGACCAAACTGCAACTGAGGCATGTGCCCTTGACTGGAATTGAACCCAACACTCTTTGGTCCGAGGGTCAATGCTTTAATCTCCAAGCCAAACCGGCCAGGGCAGGAACTATTTCTATTTTATTCTGTATCCTCAGTTCCAAGCAAATTGCCCAACCTAGCAAATATAAGTGAACATGCCTCAGTGTTAGCAAACAGTAGGTACTCAACAAACATAAACATTGTGACGTTCTCAGAAACTTAAGCACTCCTCTCATGTGGTTTTTTCAAGCATTCAATCCTTCCTTCCCTTCTTTAATTCTTTCACAGATTTGAAGACCCTCCCCCTCTGTACTTCCTTCCTTCCTTCACTCCCCCCAGGAATGAAGATATTCTGGGACTGGACAGTGCTGGAACTCTGTTTCTTTCCTTTGCCCACCACCCCCATCCTGGATGGTTCTGGCTTCTGCCAGAAAGATGCCGTCACTCACTTGGTGAGGTAGGATCCCTGCTGGGCCAGGAAAGCGGCGTGTTTTGGCTCGGGTAGTGGTGTGCGTGGGCTGCTGGGGTGTCCGGTTGGCAGCAGTGACCAGCTGTACCAGGTGGTTGGTGACTATGGGCGTCTGCAGAGTTGCTTGAGGAACCAGGGAGGAATGGGGACCCATGGGGGTGCTGACAGGAGACTCGAGAGAAGACACTGAAGCTCGGAGTTGTAAGGGCCCCCGAGGGAAAAATCCAGTGAGTGTCCTTGAGAGAGTAGAACAGCTTGAGCTAGGAGTTCGTGGAAAATTAGGTTTGCCACTTAAGTGGGCATTTGGAGATTGGAATGACTGCCTGGGGGCACGATTTTGAGGGCTGCTCTGAATAGGCCTCCCTGTAGCTTGGAGAGGATGAGTTCCTCGAAGTGTGGAACCCTTGGGACAGACTTCCCAGTGGGTTTGCGGAGCAGGAACTGTCGAGGCAGTTGGCATAGGAAGGTTACCCATGGCACCAGTTCTCAAGTGGGGCTGTGGAGTCCTACAGTAGACAACAGGATCTGGAGGCTGACCCTGGGCTGACGTGATGTGGGTGGCAGGTATGGGCCCCTTTGGGCAAGACCTGCTGAGATAAGCTACCCGAGCCTTTTTAGCCAATACTGAGTCTTCCTGATGCCAGGTGGACAGGATTCCTGTTGCCTCACTGTTAACTCCAAATTCCAGCTCCATGCCAGGCCCTTCTAGTTCCATGCTTGCCAGGACCTTGTCAAATTCATCTTGTTCAGTTCCCTCAAAGCCACCAATCACCTGCTGTTTGCTCTGAAAGGTAAGCAGGGGGTGGGAGGCTGAGGACTGTGGTCTTGCTGGCTCTTTGAGCACTTCTGTTAGTGTCGCTCTTCTCTCAATGCCAGTCCAGCTGCTGGAAGTTGAGAGAGGCCGTAGAGGGGTTGTGGAAGGTGGACTTCTGGTGGCCCTGAGCATGCTAGAGGTAGGAAGGCGGAGTCCCAGAGCTGGTAGGTCCGAAGCCTCTGAGGAAGCAGTGGGGCATGATGGCAACTGCTCAGAAGACCGTGCCTGCGCAGTCTCTTGTGGCCTGGAAGAGACAGGTCTGAGGCACCCAGCATTCACAGGTCCTGAGCCAGCAAACTGGTTCTCTGTATCCTCCACAGCAGACAAGAAATCCTACAAAGAAGCAGAGACCGTGGGAAATCAAGAAACACTCTGCTTTTACTGTTTCAGGCACGTGGTGTATATGTATGTACAGGTACACACAAGCAAGAAACCAAAGCATGAAAGGCAATGGTTGCAGGGAAAAAGGAGAAACATCTGAAACAAACAAAAAAAAGGCAATGGTTGAGTCTCTCACCACCTTTGACCTTGCCCTTGAACCCACCAACAGGCTTCTCTACCAGAAAACATTCACAGGCTAAGTCTTCAGGTAGCTTCTCTCTCTTTATTTAATCTTGAGTGGAGGTTGGGAGGTGGGAGGTGGGCAGTGCTGACAGCTGAGGAAGAAGCAGGAGAAGCAATATACTAGGGTACCAAGGTGTCAAACAAATCACCTAAGATCACAAGAAGCCTAGCTTTCTGGTGTCCAGCCTGTGGAACAGGGATCTGTCCAGCTGGTCATGCTGCATGTCTTTACCCCCACCACACACACACACACACACACACACACACACACACACACAGAGCCTTCAGTAAGCCAGAGAGGCCTAATAGGCAGAAGTTAAATATAGCTTTTCAGGCAAGTTAAATTAAGTATGGATTCCAGTTGGGAAGCAAGGTGAGATTGACACCTTTGAGAGCAACAGACCTGTTCCGAGGGTGTTTTTGAGTCAGAACTGCTGATTTAACTGACAAGAAGGTCCCCACTGCCCCCACCCCCGCTGCTGCACTGGATTGTCTGGGCTAGAGAAAGATTTTTCCTGCTTTTTGTATTATCAGGAGAGTAGCATAGTCCAGCACAGCTACCTTAGAATTTAGCAATGATAATAATAATAATATCAGAATTACTGTAGCAGTAAAATTCTGATGACCCTGGGCATTGATGGATTCCTTTTCTCAGGAGGAGCTCACTTTCAGACATGATGTCATCTGCCTTGGGAAAGGGGAAAGGGACTGGTCATGGAACAGAAACCTCAGCTGTCAAAGTCCTTCACTCTTAATTTTATTACTAGCCTAGCAGTCCTACCATCACCTGGTAAGAGCCAAGAAGGTCACTTTAACAGTCATTTTTTTCAGCCTGTAATCACACATCTTTAAAGCTAAAAGACAAAGACAAGGGCATATCTTCTTGACAAAGCTGGCAGTTTTAAATTATTTGTTAAAATAACGGTCAAGTCTCCAAGTAATAACAAAAACATCTAACATTTGAAACCTCCCTGGGTACCAGGTACCATGTAAACTTTTTACCAGAATTTACTCAATGAATTCTCACATTGGTCCTATGAATAGGTACCATTATTATTCTTGGTTTTTGGATGTAGAAACTAAGACTTAGAGAGGTTAAGTAACTTCACAGAACCAGGACTAGAACCTATATGTGCCCTTGTCACTATGTCTTGGGGCCTCAATGAATGGACTGATTTTTAAGAGGTCTGATGAAGACTGTCTTTCCCCTTCTAACCTCATGTTTCAAAAACCTCATAGAAAGGAGAGTATGGTGTTGGGTCTGCCAGAAGGGTCCTTGATGCACCATTCACCATCATATTCAGCACAAATTAGGCCACCTGGAGAAGTTGTAAATGTGATATTTAAAGCAAAGCGCTGGGAGACAAAAAGTAAGTTTGAATGGCTTGTCACTGATAAAGTAGAACAATTTTATTCTATAAATGTAGTTTAGTAATTTCCATGTATGTTAGACTTGAGTCAGGGGCTAAGACCTCATCCTGGCTATTGATGCTTTATTCTTTTCTTTTAATCCTCACCCGAGGACATTTTTCCATTTTTTGTTCAGATACAGTGGAAGGGAGAGAGAAAGAAACATCGACGTGAAAGGAACACATTGAGTGGTTGCCACTCGTACTACCAACCAGGGACAAACTGCAACTGAGGTACACACCCCTAGCAGGAACCAAACCTGGGTCTCTCTGAATTGCAGGCTGACACTCCAGCTGCTGAGCCAAACCGGCCAGAGCTTGATGCTTTATTCTTAAACAGGTTAATTTATCTTTTTGGTCTTTACTCATTTAAATCCTACTTCTTTGTGAAAATAATTGGAGGTCACAATTTTGGGCCTCTCAAATGAAACTATATCCTTTGGATCTTAGTGGGAAGAGAGCTATGGAAATCTCAAGTTCAGTAGTCTTCAGCTGCAACCAGAGGTTAGAAATACCCCTCTCTGAGTCCATTCCCAAAATTCTGATTTGATTGGTTGCGGCAGAACCTCAATAGGGGAGATTCTAATGTGCCAGCTTCAGATCTAGTCTAATCCCTCATCTTCTGAGGAGAGAGAAGAAATGAAAGAACATTTGAGGCAGAATGCTTCCCATGCTGCAGAAGAGAAAATAGAAGGCCAGAGAATGAAGTAATTTGCACTGGCTCATAGAGCCAGTTGGTGACCCCAGGCCTCTTGTGGTCCAATAGCTGTGATGTCTGGCTCTCCATAAACTTTCTTCCCACCTCAAGTATGTCATCAAAAAGGTGAATCAGCCCTGGCCAGTTTGGCTCAGCGGTTAGAGCACTGGCCTGCGGTCCAGAGATACCCGGGTTTGGTTCCCGCTAAGGGTGCATACCTCAGGTGCGGTTTGTCCAAGGCCCTGGTTGGTCGTGCAGGTGGCAGCCACTCGATGTGTCCCCCTTTCACGTCGATGTTTCTCTCTCTCTCTCTCTTCCTCTCTCTCCCTCCCACTCTATCTGAACAAAAAATGGAAAAGAATGTCCTCAGGTGAATCAGTGCTGGCCAGTTTGGCTCAGTGGTTAGAGCGTTGGCCCACGGACCAGAGAGTCCCGGGTTCGGTTCCCGCTGGGGGCATGTACCTTGGTTGCAATTTGTCCCTGCTCCGGTTGGAGTTGTGTGGATGACAGCCTGTTGATGTGTCTTTCTCACATCGATGTTTCTCTCTCTCTCTCTTCCTCCCTCTCTCTCCCTCCCGCTCTGTCTGAAGATAAATGCAAAAGTGTCCTCAGGTGAGGATAAAAAAAAAAAGGTGAATCAGCCCTGGCAATGTGGCTCAGTTGGTTGGAACATCTTTCCATGTACCAAAGGGTCATGGATTTAATTCCCCATCAGGGCGCATACCCAGATTGTGGGTTCAACTCTCCATCAAGATACAAATGGGAGGCAACCAATCAATGTTTCTCACATCAATGCTTCTCTCTCTCTCCCTCTCCTTTCCTCTTTCTGTAAAATCAACAGAAAAGCATGTCCTTGGGTGAGAATTAAAAAAAAGGAAATCCTGGCCCATGTGGCTCAGTGGTTGAGCATCAACCCATGCACCAAGAGGTCGCCAGTTCGATTCCAGGTCAGGGCACATGCCCAGGTTTCGGGCTCAATCCCCAGTAGGGGGTGTGCAGGAGGCAGCCAATTGATGTTTCTCTCTCACATCAATGTTTCTATCTCTCTCTCTCTCTAAAAACTCAAAACATAGTTTTAAAAAAAGAAAGTGAGCCCTGGCCCGCAGACCAGAGAGTCCCAGGTTCGGTTCCTGCTAAGGGCAAATACCTCAGTTGCAATTTGTCCCTGGCCCCGGTTGGAGTCATGTGGATGGCAGCCACTCGATGTGTCTCTCTCACATCGATGTTTCTCTCTCCCACCCCCACTCTATCTGAAGATAAATAGAAAAAATATCCTCAGGTGAGAATTAAAAAAAAAAAATGACTGGGGAAGAGTGCTTGAAAATGTTCTGGGCCTGGGTGCTTACATCTTTTTTTTTAAATCCTCATCTGAAGATATTTTTCTATTTATCTTCAGATAGAGTGGGAGGGAGAGAAAGGGAGAGAGAGAAACATCAACGTGAGAGGGACACATCGACTGGTTGCCTCCCGCACGCACGACCCTGAGCAGGTCCGGGGACAAACTGAAACCGAGGTACATGCCCTTAGCTGGAACTGAACCCAAGACTCATTGGTCCTTGGGCCAAATCACTGAGCAAAAGTGGCCAGGGCTATGTGTTTACATCTTAAGACCTCTTCTGTTCACCAACACTTCCTTACCTCATCTTCAAACTCCTCTTCCACAGCAAATAGCTTCTGTAAACTGCATGCCTGAAAGGAAAACACAACAATTGAGTTTGGAGGAGAAATACCATTTGTAAGTACATTTTGTCCTCACTGCTTCTTCTCAATTCTAGCAAGACCATCAGGTGTACTGTTTTGTTTGTTTTGCTAGTGTTGGGAGAGGAATAAAGGGTGAGAAAAGATAGGATTTACTTAGAGACTTAGATAATTTCAAATCCTTTCTCCAGTCCAGCCAGTGTAGCTCAGTGGTTGAGCGTCAACCCATGCACCAAGAGGTCGCCGGTTCAATTCCTGGTCAGGACACATGTCCAGGTTGTGGGCCTGGTCCCCAGCGTGGGGCATGCAGGAGGCATGTTCTCTCTCATCGATGTTTCTATCTCTCTCTCCCTCTCACTTCCTCTCTCTCTAAAAATCCAAATAAAGGGAAAAAAAAACACACACACAAAAAAATCCTTTCTCCATAAAATAATCTACTAAGGTCCAATTGAATTAATCTTGGAAGAGGAAGAAGCAAAGGAAAGGCTGCCAAAAGAAGCATGGGTCATTCTTTAGACTCAGCACTGCACACTTGGCCATAAGGATTTTGCATAATTCCAAAGGCATGGCCTGAGGAACCTTTGTCAAACATAAGACATGACCATAAATCCAAGCATGCCTAGCACAGTGGCCTTGTTTCCTTCCATCTAATCCCATGTCCAAAGGCCAGGGTCCCAAGAGGATGGGATGCCCCAGGGCACAGTTCCTTCTTTCTGGGCAGCAGGGCTGCAGTGGCCAGCTCTGGGATGTGTGTCACTCAGAACGAAGGACTGTGTCTAACCCCAGATGCTGGAGCTGCAAGAGCCACAGTTAGGGATACCCACCCCCAAGTGACCACGGATCAGAGTGGACGAATTGGGGGCAGAAGGTCGAGCTCAGGAGGAGTGACGTTTGAGCGCACCGGTAAGGATGAACAGGAGTTGCCAAGAGATGGAAGGCCAAGGAGGGAAACTAAGGCCCAGAGGGAGGTGGGTGGAGAGCTTTCCCAGGGAGTACGGGCGCGTCCCTGCCAAGCCCTGACTCAGTTTTCCTGACCCCTCACCTAATTCTCAACCAAACCCTAAACCGGCCCTGTAGCCCGCCCGGGTTGGGAGCTGGAACCCGGAAGGCAGTTCCTGGTCCCTGGACCCAGAGGCCAGTAGGCCCCAGAGGCGGTATTACCATGGCGACGGCGGGTGACCTTCCGCCAGGGGGTTAGCCAGGCAGGCCCCAATTCAGGTGGCCGCCGAGGCCTCGTACTTGGTCCAGGGCGGGAGGGTCGGAGTCCGGGTGACGGTATCTCTGGGGCGAGGTCGGAGAGGTCCCTGCGACCCGGGCGGGTACCGAGAGAAAGTCGCCGGGAAGGCGAGAGCCAGTCCCAAACCGCGTTCGAAGCCGCCGCCAAGCCAGCGTCTCCGCCCTCTTAAAGGGGCGGTTCTATTTTATCCCGCCGACACAAAGGCCCTTTATCCGCCAGTCTTCCGCCCTGGCCTTAAAGGGAAACAAATGGGCTCTCGGTTGCCCTCCAGCGGCTGCTCGAGCCAGGTCGACTGGTTCAATTAGCATTCTGGTAAAGTTGGCAATTTGGGCCCTTGACGCCTAATCCTGCCCACCCTCCTCTCTTGTGTTAAACATACTAGGGATTAGGTACTTGAGCGTGACTCTCTTACACACCAGAATATACCCCGTTGGTTGGTCTGTCTGTTCATCTTTCTATCCATCCATCAATCTTTGCAACACATTTATTAAGTAAAGATGTTCTCGGTCTGGCTCTCTCTTTCTTTCTCTCTTTCTTTCTCTCTCTCTTTCTCTCTCTCTTTCTCTCTTTCTCTCTCTCTTTCTCTCTTTCTCTCTCTCTTTCTCTCTTTCTCTCTTTCTCTCTTTCTCTCTTTCTCTCTCTCTTTCTCTCTCTCTTTCTCTCTCTCTTTCTCTCTCTCTTTCTCTCTCTCTTTCTCTCTCTCTCTCTCTCTCTCTCTCTATCTCTCTCTCTCTCTCTCTCTCTCTCTCTCTCTCTTTCTTTCTTTCTTTCTTTCTTTCTTTCTTTCTTTCTTTCTTTCTTTCTTTCTTTCTTGTGCCCCTAGTGGGAACCAAACCCAGGACTCTCTGGTCCGCAGGACGATGCTCCAACCGCGGAGCCAAACTGGCCAGGGCGGTCTGGCTCTTTTCATCTTTCATGTTTCAGCTGAGATCTCAGATCTTCCCTGTCATCTATTCTGGTATGGAGCATCCCTTCCCCCATCACTATTTCCTTTTCAGCACTTTTCATAATTTATCATTGTCATGGTTTACATCTTTATTGTGTGTTTTTTCCACTAGAATATGAGCTCCTTGAAGGTAGGGACCTTGTCTGGCTTGTTCAACTTTGTATCCCCAGCACCTAACACAATAAACAATAGAGTTATTGAATGACACAATGGCTAATATGTACTGGGCACCGTGCTTGACCCTGGGGATAAAGAAATGAATGACAGCTTGTGCCCTCAAGTTCACAAACAAGTCAGGGAGACACAAATCAAAAGATAGAGTCCAGGAGATCTGTGCAGAGAGATGGGTGGGGGTGTAATGAGCTGGGAAGGTCAACTTTTGTCACTAATGTCTGCTGTGGTTAACGACCCTCAGTCCAACCTCAGTTTCTCTTCTTGCTTTTCACTACAGGGCTAGTCAAATGACAGCTAGGGCTACATAGTCTTGAGGACTCAAAAGACAAGAGGAAGGTCGCTGACTCGAATTCTTAACCATCTGATCTGAGCCAGTCCTGAATTTTCCCTAAGGTAATCTGGCCTGGCCTCACCTCTGACAGCCTATGGCTCCCATCAAAGCTTTATGTGAACCAGCTTTTTGTTACATCAGAATGGAGGCCAGAATGGCAATAGGAAAGAGAACCTGGATTCCTAACTTTCACGCAAGTTAGCAATCCCCTCAAGGCCTTTGTGTTTCTGAACTGGGGGACAAATCCTAATCCTCCCACTTACAGGCCTCCTCTCCTCACAGGAATCCTAGGTACAACTCATCCTGCACCACTGTGGATAGTCCTGGAAACCCAGTTATAGGGCCCCTTGTGAATCTGACCTCTGTCAACTCAGGTTGCTGGGAGATCACAGAGCCCAAAAGGCTAAGAGGAATAACGATAACTCCTATCTCTGCAGCTTCCAATTTTAACCAATTGCTCATTTTGTGGTCATAAAAATTCTCTAAAGAACCTTGCCTATGTGCCTTAGTGGATTGAGCATCATCCCATGGACCGAGAGGTCCTAGTTCGATTCCCAGTCACGGCACGTGCCCGGGTTGCAGGCTCAATCCTTGGTGCGGGGTGTGCAGGAGGCGGCCTATCGAGGTTTCTCTCTCACATCGATGTTTTTTATCTCTCTCCTCCTTCCTCTCTCTCTAAAAAAATCAATGAAAACATTTAAAAAATTATGTAAAGAGGGGCAGATATTACTTTATAGATTAGGAAACTGAAGCCCAGAGGGGGAAGGAATTCTCTCAGGATCACAGTCTTTCAGTGGTGGATCTTCTGGTTGGAAATCCTATGCTTTTTCCTCCATCACCTTTCTAAGCTGTATAAACTTGGTATCTATTGCCCCACCTCCTGTTAGAACCTAAAGGGGTGTGGGGGCAGTGGCTGGAGCAAATGGAAAATGTGGACCTGGGAAATTTTAGAGAGCACCTGACAGGACACAATGTGGAGGCTGTCTGTGATTTTAGAATTGACTGACTGGGTAGCTCAATTGGTTAGTGAAGTGGTTTTCAACCTGTGGGTCGCGACCCCTTTGGGGGTCAAACGACCCTTTCACAGGGATCGCCTAAGACCATCGGAAAACATATTTCTGATGTTCTTAGGGACAGAGACACTGCTCCTTTATCCGTCTCCAGGTGGGTCTGCCCACATGCAGATACGCCCACATACAACATGAGGAACTGTATTAAAGGGTCGCTGCATTAGGAAGGTTGAGAACCACTGGGTTAGAGTATCATTCTGATACACCAAGGTTGAAGGTACGATCCCTGGTCAGGGCACATACAAGAAGCAACCAATGAATGCATAAATACGAGGAAAAACAATCAAATGTCTTCTTCCTAGAACTATAATCTTAACGTAAAGGCAAGGGCCAGGTCTCCATGATGATGGGCTCAGGTCCCCTTCCTTCTCTTAGAAGAGGGGTTAGTGGGCTTAACTCTAATAACTAAGCTTGAAGGTAATGGAGACCTAGACTAAAAAGGAAGTGGTGGGTTCTGGGAAAGGAAGAAGTGGGTGCTGGGACTTGGACAGGAGGATCCACACCAGAAGACACCAGATCCCCAGCTGTGAAGTGGGGTACAAAGAGGAGTGGGTGTAATGAGAAGTTCTCAGTAATGCTGTGATTTAACCTAGAATAATAACAGCCTGTATTTCTGAGTACTTTTTGTGTTCCAGGCAAGGTACTGGGCTCTTTATGTGTATCAACTCACTTGATCATTGTAACAAGCATAAATAAATATGCTTTCTTTTAACATAAAAAAAATTCTTCAGGCCCTGGCAGGTTTGGCTCAGCAGTTGGAGCGTCGGCCTGTGAGTCCCGGGTTTGATTCCCGCTAGGGGCACGTACCAAAAAAAAAATATCTTCAGCCCTGTCCATGTGGCTCAGTGGTTGAGTGTTGACCCATGCACCAAGAGGTCGCTGGTTCGATTCCCAGTCAGGGCACATGCCCAGGTTGTGGGCCAAATCCCCAGCAGGGGATATGTAGGAGGTGGCCAATCGCTATTCTCTCTCATTGATGTTTCTATCTCTTTCTCGCTCTCCCTTCCTCTCTCTCTAAAATCAATAAAGAAAAAAAAAAATTTATTTTTAAGTCTTCAATCCCTCCCAGTCACCAGAGGGTGACATATAAGATCCCCAGGATCTACAATGCCCTGGCATCTGCTTCACTGCCTTCAACCAACCTCCCAGTCAATACCAACCCCTCTCTTCACCCCAATCATTCTTCATGCCAGAGGTCACAAGCTACCTCTGCTAAGAAGCTTTCCTTAACTG